GTCACGTGGATATTTTATACCACTGGTTATCTATGACTATGCATCTAAATACTTCCTTTTAACTAAAACTTTTTAAGACTTCTATGAATCTGCATCAGATCAAATCCATATGGTTTGCTTTCTACAGAAAGCAAACCATATGGATTTGATCTGATGCAGATTCATAAAAGTCTTAAAAAGTTTTAGTTAAAAGGAAGTATTTAGATGCATAGTCATAGATAACCAGTGGTATAATCTCGTGCGAATGTATGAAAAAATTGTTAAGCAAGTCATTTTATAGAAAAACTTTCTAAACAGAGATGTTGTCACAAAACGCTCTTTGATACCCAGAACGTCACACAGTTTTTTTTTAGGTAGTCACTAGGTAAGATTTTTGGTTTTGACCTATAGTGTATCCTTCTAAAATGCGGTGATAAAGTATTCGTCCTGCAGGATGACTTTTTTCGCAGCTTTTTGTTTATGCGTTTCCCTGAGGAATCAACTACCACAGTAACGTAAAGCCGTGTAGCCTACTGTTGTGTAAAAAACTCTCACAGATTTTTTGGAACGATAAAGACATTCTAGTATTATAAATGCGAAGCTTAAAATTATGAAATTCAAAATGCTCTTATCATAGGAAACCTTGTGCTACAACCCAAGGGGTTTAAGTCGGAAAAACTGCGAGTCTGCAAAAAGATGAACGCAAATCCTCTACTTTAGCTCTTCTTTCCCTTTTGGCACTAATGTTTACACTTTTGAATAGTTGAACAACCTTCAAACAAACTTTTCAATCTCGGTCGCCAATTTTTGAGATTTTGTAGTAATCCAAAATTAAATTTATGGAGATTGGGCAAATTTTTCTACGCACTTATAGTCGAGTAGATTTAGCGGTAAATATAGTGTGCTTGCACAGAAGGTGAAATGCGGTAAAATTGGCGCGTGAAGGAATAGTTTCGACTGTGACGCCGGCCAATTGCGCGCGCAAGATACCCGCGGTACTGACGTGGCTACTTGATCACGCGCAAATTTCACCGCATTTCACCTTCTGTGCAAGCACACTGTGTTAACCGCTAAATCTACTCGACTGTACCTGGGCACTCTCAAAGACATCTAAACATGTAGTGATTTTTCAATTATCGGCATCTGCATCGATTATATTGTGAGAAGAATTAATGCTCCATACAAAATTTCAAATTTACAAAATTTCAAGTTATGGGGCACGCAAAACCAAAAACTTCCATGCAAATACGGCCCTTTATATGTGAAAGCTGTTTCTCTTACACCAACTGTGCGAGTTTGAGGAGTGGATACTAGAATGATGCCAAAGTCATCAAATTCAATCTTCCCTTCAAGACCATTCAAGAGGATGCTATCATTCCAAGTCATATGTGTTTTCTGATGATCAAAGCTACTTAGGTATAACGAACAACTGAGCGAAGCGGGCTTTCCCTAATCAACTGAGTGCTTAAACCAATGCCTCTTTTTCGCCATTACTTTTCGCAAATACTAATATAAATTTTGGACAGATTTTGAATTATTTGGTTGTTGCAAAAGCTCCTGCAACAAAATCGGTTACTTTCTTCTCAAGTCTAAATCAATGCTCTGTATTCGAGATTAAAAGAGGGTTCGCGCTACGATAGTTAGCAACTCTGTTGTGTGGGTCTAAAGAATCAAGCTTCCAAGGAAGGCACTTTGAATTTCATAATTTTGAGTTTCGCTTTTATAATACTAGAATGTCTTTATCGTTCCAAAAAATCTGTGAGAGTTTTTTACACAACAGTAGGCTACACGGCTTTACGTTACTGTGGTAGTTAATCTCTCAGGGAAACGCATAAACAAAAAGCTGCGAAAAACGCCATCCTGCAAGACAAATACTTTATCACCGCATTTTATAAGGATACACTATAGGTCAAAACCAAAAATTTTACCTAGTGACTACCCAAAAAAAACTGTGTGACGTTCTGGGTGTCAAAGAGCGTTTTGTGACAGAATCTCTGTCCAGAAGTTTTTTTTTGAAAAATGACTTGCTTAACAATTTTTTCATATTTCCGCACGAGATTAAGGGCTGTATAATGGACTATAGCTAAAAAAAATTTCGCAGAATTATTCTAGCTAGCTAGCGGCACTCTGAAGTACCTTACTAGTAGTACCAGTCTTTGAGGGTCGGTACGAGATCAGTGAAGAGATACTCTGAGTAATTATCTTGAAACGCGAATCTTTTTTCTAATCTTAAATACATTTCAAACATTTCAAATACAAATCATGAATTTAATGTTGGTTGAATGATTTGAAGAGTATTCAATTTACATAGAAATTTTAGCATCGACTTAATAATCGAAAGCATTTAAGTTCGTTAGCGAATATTTTGGTGTATTAACCTTCTTCCATAATTTTCATAGCGTTTTTACGAGTTTAGAAAAGAACGCTTATTTCAGAGTTCATAAAAGGCACGAAAGTTTTTCACACACTTGTTACCTTGGATTAGGCCAAACATTCCCAAAAATCGCAATCGAAAATATGCAAAAAGGTCAAAAATGGACTTAGTCCCAGCTCACCTTACTGCTGGGAGTAAAATGGGCTTTCAAGTGCATTCAAAATGGAGGTAAATCCCATTTTGCCCCATTCTAAATGGACTTTTCGCATGATTCTTTCGCAAGCGAGATCTCAGGTAGGGTTTAATCATTATCACACCGCTTTGCCCCGTGGTTGTGATGAGATAAAATTTTCGATTAACGCTAGCGAAAACAGATCCCGACCAGCTTCTACCGCGAACGAATAAAATGGGGTTTCAAAGTCCATTTACCTTCATTATGGACTTTCGTGATATCATTACTGGATGTTAAGATCATAACTAATCGGAATGAATGTGAATGAATCAAGTGCAATGGTTTATCTCGAAGATATTCCAGCAAGTCGGTCGAAAAATTGCGTTTTCATAGTCTTTCTTGTGCTAGAAACGACGTTTTTGTGTGAATTTCCATAGACAAGACAACATTACTCAGTCAACTTTTGGTTTACAATTTAGTTTCAGTTCACGAAAGCTGTTGAAATTTGATGAAAACGAGGAACTGCACATACATATTACGCAAGGCGTTGTGCAGATCCTCATCTCATTAAAGAGCAATTTTCAGCGCTTGCGACGGTCACATGCTAGTCGTGTCATGGCGATTAGAACGATATGTAATGTTGCAGGGTTTCTTTAAACACGATGATGATCTACGACCTGAGGCGAATACTTCGTCGGCTCTGGTCTTTCTCCCCTGCTTCTGCGCCTCCACGTGTTGCGTGCTACCTGGGCACCCAAACGCGGTGCACGCGGCATTTGGCTCTGGTATCTTTTTCTTCGTTATTCGGAACCCAGTTCTAGTAATTATATATTATATTAAAGCTCTTGATTTCTGTTTTCACGCTGACAACGTTGCAGAACCCCATTCTTTGTCCTAACGAGAAATCTGGCAGAAATGTATTTTCGAAAATCTCTTGGTTTTTGTACAATTCAGTTCTTTTCATGCAGTTTTCTGTAGGTTTGAAAGAACTTGCTTCTGATTATAATGTAGAAAATGTCGCATTACTTTCTGACTGTGTTGGAAAAAATTGATGAAAGCTTTGAAAAGTTCGCTTTTGTTTGCAGCTCTTTATTGAAGTTACTAAGCAACTACTTCTTTCACATTTGAATGCTTCTTGGCCAGATTCATAAGCAAAACAAAGCTGACGACGTCGCCAAAGACAGAATCAAGAAAAGAGGGTAAAAATTTGAAACGCATCAAAAACTCGATTGGCTTGACGTTTTGCCTTCTCATAACTATCTCCTTTCTTGCTTATCTTATTTTGTTAATCACCACTTCCGAAACGTAATTATTATGAAACTCACAAAAAAAGTTCCTCCTCTTTCCCGCGTAATTCTAGTGTCGAAGATAAGTACTGAGCCAAGCTTCTCTTAAAACATCTCTAAATTAGCAAATCTAATGACCTTGGAAACGGAAGGGCGTGTCATGTCTTTACCTTGAAAAAGCGCGATGGGTCTGGATCTGTGGGTGAAACTTCGGGAGCATTATTATGTTTGGGAGTTATGGTAAACGTGCCCATCAACGACAAGGAAGGGCCAGCTCGTCCCGTGTTTGATTTTTTTCTGTTTATAGTCTAATTGTTAGTTTTGTAGTTTCTTCTCGTATTGTGTTATTTTTTGTCATCAAGATAATGTTGATAATTAATTTGTGTCTCCTCTCACGCGCTAGTGCAAGTAGTAGTCTAGGTGACATCGTATGTATGAAGCGGGCGAGTGCACTAGGTTTCGAGTAAGGCACGGCCTCCTTTGAACTATACGGGGCAATTACATCGCCAAATTGATAGGCTACAGATCTGGTTAAATGTTAGCCCAAGAGATTTTCGACATATTGAATAACAACAGAGCGGTTGACGGAGATGGTAACAGTTTGGTCAACCGCTCAAATCACACAATCGCCGAAGAGCTTTTGATCGAGTACCTCAAAATATGTTTTGCTTTTTTGTTGCATTAAAAACAAATACGTTTCTTTTTGTTTTTCCGTTGTGTTGAATGAACAATGGTTTTCCTACGAATTTTGACGTTGAAACTGGCTTCGCTTTTGAAAATACTGCAAACCAACGCGTGCCCGGTCCTGATCGCGGAACCACATGCACTCTAACAGGTAGCATTCACTAAAATGGAAGATATAAATGACAAAAAACAAGATAGAAGATATTAATGACACATAAATGCAGGGGGGGGGGAATATTACTTACTCTTTCCCGCCAAGCCTGATGCACGAATCAGTGTGCAGTCACTCCCTAACTACCCACAATCAGTTGTTTTCTCCATAAAGGACGAATCTTTATGCGAGAAGAATTCATGAAAGACTAAAATAAACAATGAAAGACATAATCAAGCGTGACTCAACAAGCAAATAAAATTATAGAATACGCTATGTAATAACAGGAAAGCTATCAAAAAATCAAAATTTCAAGCTTTCAAGTACAAGGGTGGTAGAGAATTACAGTTCTGATCAATCAACAAAATCTGGATCATATTCATCGATAAAGCGTCTATATTCACGGATTTTTTCGTACGTCCGTATTACTTCAGTCATTTTCTGCAAAAATATTCAGGAATATGGTTAGATGGAAAGTCCTCGCCATAACTCACCTTTCGACGCGATGTATCTTGCCATCTCAAAGAGCCAGGATCTTTGGTAACTACTTCATGCATCATTTCTTTTTTCTCATACACCGTATTACCACTTGTGCCTTCCCATGGTTGCATGGATTTGTCTGAAATTTCAAGCTAAATGCGGTAGATTACGCGGATCAAAATGTTCGATTTATGATAGGCGCAAGCTCCAAGCGAGGAGGCAGCGCAGAGCAGAGCTACTGATGCAGACCCATTTTACTGAAACAGCCTATACAGTTCCTTATTTTTTCATATATAGTAAACTATATGACAACTTTTGCTTTTCTTATTGCATTTTTGAGCTTATAGCATTATTCTGAGACTATCTGGCGGTTACGGTCTCACTGAGACTCCAAATTAATTAGCTAACAAATCATATGTACGTCTTTTAAATTAGTTCTACGATGTTCGGGACGAATCGCCGCATCCTCCTGACCTTGAATGGAAACGGGTTTTACCGCCCTTGTTTACATGATTATGTGAAAATGATTGGTGAGAGCAGGATAAGCCTTCCTTTCATTTAGTGTAAGCAGATAAGTCAATTAATCAATAAAACGGCCCAGCGAATTGCCGCGAAAATAGCCTGTGTTCTCCGGGGTCAAATATTTGTGCAAAATTCAAGTTTAACCGGTGTTTGCGCCATAGCGCGCTGGAATGGCAGGCGCGTTAGAAAGAAGTAAGTCTTTCCTTTTGAATGCTTTTTTTTTGTGAAGTTTCCGCTACGCACTGACAGCAGAGATAAAAAATAGAAAAAGAAAAGCATATAAAACTTTCTCATTTCAACTTAGGTCGTCAAAAATCGGCGACGCTGCAGAAAAATCTGAAATCGTCAACACATAAATTTTTTGACTTACTCTTCTATATTGTAAAAAATTTGTCCCGTTTGGACGTCTCTTTGAAAAGTTATGATTTTCGAGAAAAGTGTCAAATCAATTAATTATGGGGTTTTCTGTAGTGGACTGGTTTTTCGTAACTTCTCACAGAAGACAAACAAGACAAATTTTTCGCAGTTGAGAAGACTAAGTCAAAAAACTTTTGTGTTGACGATTTGAGGTTTTCAGCAGCATTCCCGATTTTTGGCGAAAAAAGGTAAAATGAGTTAAGGGCATTCTCCTGCCAGAATTGGCATGCTACTAAACATGGGAAGATTTCTGTAGGTGTGTAGAAATCTGCAAGAAAGATGTGCTGATATGTCGAAAAAATCCAATGTTTTCTCACTAAAAAGAAGGTTAGAATGTGTATTAGCACTTAGATGATGATGATACCGTGATGCCAGTGAATCGATGAGTATGCAAATTTTACACAGAAAAAATGCAAAATAATTCGCTCCAGATTGAAGCGCCACAGCTAGGAATAGCATATTTGGAATCAGCTTTTGATTCATAGTTAATAAGTCTCTTTCCAAAAGACCGAGCTAATTTAGGTACATTCCCTTTTGAGGTAGAATCCTCAGATTTATTCACGCAATGCAGCTCTTTTCCATGACACCTATACATCCGTGTCGAAAGCTACGCTAAGTCTGCGGTAAACTGCATGTAGAGGTAAATCATACGATTCATAATCTAATTTATAATCAAACTTTGATGGCAGTACGGCTCAATATACGAGGGACGAAGCAATGAATTGGAAAATTCACTGAGAAGAATTCTCTAAGCAAAGTGTCTGCACTGGCGCGAGCGTGGCGCAAGTGCTTCGCGATATGGGCGAGCAAATCCAGCATTGCAGAAGAAGGAATTTGCCTTTGACATGGACTGTGTTTTGTGTTTTTGTATCAGAGATCTACGAAGAGCAACCAGCAGCCAACTGTAGGCTCTCATTTCAAAGAACATCAGTTTCAGAGCTCGAAACTCACCAACAACTGAGTACTCCATGACATCCTTTGCCTCTTCAATTTGTTTCCCTTCGTGTTTTGGCGCTTGTGAGCGACCTATATCTCTAATACCACTTCTGCGTTCTTCTGTAAGTCCAGGATCCCTCACAGTAGCTTTCCGTTCCTCTGTGTACTTACGCATAGGAATGTTTATAAGCAAAAGAGTTACTCTCATACCTCCTTTACTATCTTGTTTTTGCAGAGTTTTTGCTGGCGGCTGATCATTCGATTTGATAGGAGGGAGTCGTTCGTTTTCTTTTAGTCTTGGCGGAAGCTTCTGATTTTCTAAAGGCAAATATGCGTGCACGAAGAGTTCAATAGTGGAGAAACTCAACTATTTTTTGCATCATCACCAATTCCTATTAGACGTGGCAATTTCGTTCCGGTGCTCGTCAAATTGAATAATGAATGCTCCTTTTCTGTACCTCAATCGAATTATATGAAAAAATAGTAGTGGAAGATTTTATTAATGTATTCAAAAGTGCCTGCGGCGCTTCAAAATGATCACAACTTTCTAGTCTGAAGCTTCTGCCAGCAAGAAAATCTCTATACAATAAAACACATGCGATGACTCATGCTTACGGCGTAGTCTACTCAACTCTATCCCCCTCTCTACTACCCCTATCAACGTTGCCGTTGTAAGGGTACACAGTCTAGAATCGTTGCTCTTTAGAACTCGCCTGCCAATATGGTGCATGGGAAATGGTCTATAGAGTCTTTGCCCCTTTGGATGCTCATGACCCAAAGTGATGTTTTTGTCATGGAAAATGTTCGAGAAGTACTTTTGTTTTGCATATCACCTCACTGACGACTTGCTCATTCGCTAAAGCAAAACTGAGACAGCATTTCGCCTTCAACATGAAAAGATGTCAGCAAATTGCTGCGGCCAGTCATATCTGCATTAGCAGCTCCTATTTTGTTTATCTTTACACTTGGTAGTCACCCTAGAGCAAAAAAGCCAAGTTTCTGGAGTATCTACTTCATTTTTCCCAAATTTATGTCGTATAGTTCTATGCTATAGGAAAAATTGATGCTTTGTTTTTTAAGCATTCCCTTTTTTACACTGTTCCGGCCTTATCGCTCCTAGTCCAGTCATCTATCATGTATTTATTATTTATTATTATTATTTATTTATTCATACGCTCTATGGCGTTCCTTACAAAAAGAACAAGAGAAAAAAAACACACACACAGTAAATCGAACAACCCCAATCAAGGTCCACCGTGCCGTTGGGTCCATACCTTTAAATTGGTTAAGAAGTATATTTGATAGAGCTTGCATGTGACTGCTCTGGACTACAATTGTCATAAAGATGTGATCATGGAGATGGTACCCATGCCCCCATTACTGCCAGCAAAACGTCCCTGAGATAAACTATCTAACTCAGGATTGCATGGTGGATATACTCCCACCGCATAAGGCTAATAGGAAGAGTCAGTTGCTCGAGAATACTTGATTAATAAGAAGTGTAGTAATGGAACATTGTAATCGAGAAGATCAATAGGTTGTTGCAAGTTGTGGAGGTGGTGATCCTTCATACTCGTACGCTAGCAAAGTGCTCTCGAAATACCAAAGTAAGCAAAGTGGGCTTGGTCAGTGCGTAGTGCTGTTGTAAGGGAAGTTGTAGGTTTACGGTCACTCAGGCTGGGTATGCAGGCATGTTCAGGATCTACGAACTTCAAGGGTAGAATGAGAAGTGTGATAGCATATTTTGAAAAGAAAAGCAGCTAGCAGTTATTGTTACTTCATAGGAGAGCCTTTCTGAAAGTAAGCAGAGGACATTTTCGTTAAATAAGCCTTTGAGTGTAACGGTTGAGAAGTGGGGAAAGGTGAGATACAATCTGGCAAAAAGAATAATTTATTTTAAGGAATTGATGTGTGTCAAAAACCAGCACGCTATCGCTTGTGGGCATATTTGCAAGAGAGTTCAGAGGCCAGGAGAACGTTTCCTCGCTGGATTTTTATTATAGAGTCATTGGGGAGAGATAGGTAAAGATTAGCTGATAGATTTGAAAGGCGCGACGGTACTTTTCCATTATCCGGACCCATTTTTTCAAAAGGCTCTTATAAAGTACATTCTGTAGTCCAAGTACAAATTTTCATAGATTTTACGAGGACTGCCTCCCCGCCACGTGTCAGGAAAAAATTGACACGTTCTTATCCACTTTGACATGTTTTTTCGAAATCATTTCCGCTAAGGTAAAAGAGCATCTGTAACCACTTAAAAGCTGTTCAGCTGATTTATATAAGAGCAAGACAATCTAGAATCATTACTGGAATATCTTGATTGTTTCTAGCAATGATTCAAGAATGTTCACTTCAAACCTTCCGCCATGAGAGTTTAGTCAGGAAAGTCTGCAAATGATGGCTTGAAGTAGTACTTCGCTGCTGCTTTTCGCCGCTTCGATGATGGAACCCTAGCGCTCCTCTCTATTCTGGGCATGTTTAGTAGGTTCATTGATAAAAGGGCGACGTTATTATTATAACAATGTCATTTTTGAAATAGTTTAATCAAAAATAGGGTCATTATTGACCAAAAAAGGTTGGACTTATGTCGCTAGGTAGAGCAACACAAAACCTTGGTAAAACTTGTTAAACACGTAGATGGCATGTCAAATTTTTTTGGCACGTGGCAGAAGGTCGACACTCTTTCCTATGAAGTTGGGACCAAATATTGCGCAAGGAAAGAAGTAGTATCCTTCTTTAAAAAAATGGGTCCGGATAACGGAAAAGTACCGGTGCGACTTTCAAAAATCCGTAGGAAGAGAGGGATGAATGCGAAGTACATGGTGTTGGATGCGATCGCACAGGCTGACATTTCTAGGATATCGATGTGAAGACTTAAAAGTTAGGATGAAGGTCGTACCCGTATTTTCAAGAAGAGTAGAAGCTTTGATTATGGACGTTTCTTAGTAGAGACAAAGAAAGACAAGAGACACTTGCATTGGAGAAGCCTTTAGGACCGGGCATACTACACGCGATTTCATTCGCGACGCGATTTGGCAAATCGCCAGAAGTCTTCAGATCCAACGTTAGCAAACTGCACATGCATAGTGTCTATAACTTACGTGGATTGATAAAATGTCCTATCTTCCGTATATTTGAAATGTGCCTTACAGTGAGTTATGGACGGTTGGAATATTGCCAAATCGCGTGAAGTATGCCCGGCCCTTTTGATAGCAAGAGAGGGGAAGAAAAGGAATGGGAGGGTGTTCAAATGCTTCCAACAAGAGAAGTTTCCAACTGTCTTTCGAAAATTTGGCCGAAAGCAAGCATACTATCAATCTATTTTTTCTGCTCACAGTAATTCCGTCATTTTACAAGCCGCAGCTAACATCATCTTCAAAACAAGCGCTGTCCAAAATTTACGCCTTTTTTGCGACAACTGTATATGGTTCCCTCATGCTTCCGATAAGCGAAACCTAGCGTGCTATTGCGGAGCATTAATCGATATTTTTGGCTAAATGACATTTCACAAAACTTTTACACACGTCTCACTCCACACATGCCAGACCAAAGTGTCGCGAAGCGGTTACAAAATAAATGTGATAGTAAGCCGCTCGAGATTGGTGACAACTATTTATTGGCTGACTTTTGTAGATCGCCTTCTTCAGACTCTGGAATGGACAAATATTACTTGATCAAATGTCTCCGTGTTCGGCGGTCCACACAGTGAACAGCTGCTTGTGGAGCTGCAGAGACATTTGATCGAATACGTTGCAGATCGTTTTGTCCATTCCAGACTCTGAGGATGGTCTGCCAAAACGTCAGCTATTAAATAGTTGTAACCAGTCTCGAGTACGGCTTACTATTACAAGTATAAGGTCTACGTCATGCCAAGATTCATAGAGAGTGGAACAATCCAAAATACAAGATATACATGGACTTTGTGGGTGCCTAAAAGAGCTAAATTTTCTCCAAATCCTGACAAGAAATAAGTCACGATAATCAATAAGTTTGCTTCCAGCATGGTGCCAACATCGTTCCAGCGCCGTGCCGGAAGTGGATCGACGGTTAGCGTCCACATGAATTCCGTCATGGCCTTGGAACGGATTGGAATGCCGCTGGCACACGGTGAACTCAAAACCCTATGAAGCATTCGAGCTCAACTTACTCCTTTCTTTGTACTCTGGTGGTGCTCGCATATTTGCCATGCTCATTGAATGATCCGGAGGCGCTCGTAGATTTGCCATACTCATCGAATGATGTTCGTCAGACCAGAGCTCTTTAGTCGCCTTATTCAGTTGCTCCATACTACCTCCCATCTATAATTAGATAGGTTACGGTACTTTTGGTAAACTTTGGATGCCGATAATCAAATTTCTCCCACTACCTTTTCTTTCGCAGCCATATTCATCAGTGAAGCATTAGGACTGCGTGACAGGCCATCTAGAGGATACGGTAAACCTGTTGTACTACCGTACCCTTGTTTCTTCAGATATATATCCATGCTATCTCCTGAGTTCAAAAATGTGGGTTTGTTCTCTGTGACTCGCACGAGAGATGTCCACTTCTGGAAAAGAAGAGTAACAACAAGGCGTGAAAACATTGACTCAGTTAGGAACGCAAAGGAAGTAACCAAAAATCGTAAACTCAATAGGAGATTGTGAATTTTGTGAATTAAGAATAGTGCCAGGTATTTGAGAGTGAATGTAGCCGCCCTAGTACGCTCTGCCTAGACCGGTAAGGGACTTCATCGCCAAAAATGGAACAAAATGTGAAACAACATGGGAAGAAATAGTAGTTATTTAAACATTCCATTACCAACACATTACTAACAAAAATAGGGATTACCGATCACAAGAATGAACAGAAAATCTCCATCAAACGTGCATTTTTTCTCGCATATCGCATTAGCTTACCGTAAGTGTATATCTTGGAGCAGCGCTTAATGGTGTGAGTCTATATGGAAAATCGATGTCATCATCATCTTGAATATCATATCTATATCTCAAAAGTTCAGTATGTGGTCGTCGATAAACATCTCGTGCTGTGGCAGGGATCTTGCCTGCCGGATATTTTTTCATGGGTTTCCTCGGAGCATACTTGCTGATTGCAAAACGTCCCTAAATTTGTTTGAATGTCCTCCGGGAGGAACTAGGCGCTTTATTAATTTGTAACTAACAATAAAATATTAAGCAGACGACACTTTTGACTTGTAAACAGCTTCAAGGTTGATTGAGCAAAAATGGGGCAGCTAAGTGACGGGCATTTGCCATTACTGTAGATCGTACATACTGTATATTGCTCATCGTGGCTCGTTTTGCCTGGGTAGAGGAACGAACGCCTCAATTAGGCATCGCCTCCGCGGGCTGCTGGTCCTTTGGTCCTACTGTTGTGCATCGTGTTGGGACCAGTGGTCCGCGGAGGCGGTGCCTAATTGAGGTGTTCGTTCTTCCACCTGTTTCGCCTTGTATTGTAGTGGTTAGAAGAGTGCCCCACGAGATTAGTCGGACGAGTTACCACAACCTCTCAGACACTTTCTCCGACGGCGCGCGCGCCTTCATGGGCTTACCGTGCGAGTGGCGCGCCTAAATTTGTGGGCGTGGCATCGTTGCCAACGAGCGGCGCGCCATCGAAACCTGCCGTGCGAGCGGCGTGCCTTGCTTTCGGGGGCGGCGCGCCATCTTGAGTGACCGTGCGAGCGGCGCCCCATGATGAACGTGTTAGGACCTACAATGACACTCGCGCATAATGCGTCATTTTGAAATCCTCGTTATTCGTGGAAGGTTGTTCACTATCCCGTCGTCGCTTAACTGCCCTGCCACCGTCTGTTCCCCTTATTCTTCAAGTTCGTGTTTTTTGTTTTTAATAGATTGAACCAATCACTCACAGTTTCCCAGTAACCTTAAACAAAATTCGCTCATCTGTTAGAGACGAGAGAAATTTGCTGATCAGTTTTTGCCGATTTCGGTAAGGCAGCCCAACCGCGTGCTTCTTACTGACTACAGTTTCTAAGGACTTCCTCAAGAACACCCAAAGTGCCAAGCCCCTCATCAAAATTATCACTCTTAACGGATGTTTTCAGACTTCGGTGAAGACATGATTGGGTACAGGCACGAGGAGTAAGATCAGTGGAATAACTTGAGCCAGTCTTTGTGAGTGACTAAAATAGGATCCGCAAAAACCAAACGATTTGCGTTCCAGGTTTTACAGAAATCTTGGAGAAACCGAAAAAAAAGAAGTGAAGCGCTGGGGAGCTAAGACCTCGGACGGGGTTCACGCGATTTGATCGTCGCGATTCAATCGCCGCAATTTTCATTCACTTTCATTTTACATCCAAAGATTTCGAGCTGGAAAAGTTTTACAACCGAAATGCAAGCTGATCGGCATGCAATGAACTCGTAACGTTGTCTTGTAGCGACTGAATCGCGACGATTAAATCGCGTAAACTCTGTCCGAGGCCTAAAGGGCCGGGCATACTTCAAGCGATTTCAATCGCGACGCGATTTGGCAATATTCCAGGTGTCCATGACTCATTGTAAGCACATTATAAATGTATAGAAGATAGGGCATTTCATTAGTTTACGTAAGTTATACACACTATGCATGTGCAGTTTACTAATGTTGGATCCGAAGACCTGGCGAATTGCCAAATCGCGTCGCGACTGAAATCGCGTGAAGTATGCTTGGCCCTTAGGGTGACAACATCAAGATTGGCGACCACATTATTAACCCCTCAAATGGTCTGTAAGTCCAAAGATGGTTACAAATTTCGAAGTAAATGAGAATTCTGATTTCAGGCGAGATGTACGGTCCCACGATTACGAGTCGGGAAGTTGGATAGCCGATCAGGATAGCCGATATGGTGAGAATTTGTGCATATTTAAATAATGATTTGACACTTTTTTCAGCGCTAGAAACGTGCCGCACCAACCGAAAATTGAAGTTACAAACCGAAAAAGGATTACGTAGCCGCGTCTCGATCATCAGCTCATGCCTGTCAACATCTGCCCAAATTCCTTCAGACCAACATATCTCCTCCAGAAAAAAATAACAAAAATTGATTCATCTAGGTTTTTTCACTCTATGTTTTGCTCGGTTGTTCAGTATGTCTTATCTTTAGTGTCTTATCTTTCGTAATATACTGGCGTTTACCTGATTTCGGTGTTTACTGTCTAATCAAGCACTGTCATGATTCAAACAGGTTTCCGTTTTTGCTCAAAGAGATCATTCTTACCGGTGCCTAACAGTGATTTCTCAGTATCAGCATGGCTGCTATGCTTTACGTGTTTTCAACAGCGTGCTAAGCGTAAAAGGTACTAATAATATTCTAGTTGTTGTCTTTTGAGTTCTTCTGCTTTTGATTATGTGTTATGTCGTTTTTGTAAGTGTTTGAATAATAAATCTGCCATCATGATATTTGTATACGTGTTCTACAATAAAGCTGACATATTAGGTCGTATTTCAATAAGAAAATATGAATCTTATCATCGGATCGCTATGTGCATCAAATTAGAGCCATACAACGCTTTTTAGAAGCGGGTGAGCGGCGCGCCTTCAGGAGCGAGCCGCGTAGCTTCATCCCACGGGCGGCGAGAGGCATGAGCGCTCGCACGGTAAAGGCGCGCAGGCCGTCGGAAAAACTGTCTGAGCTCACTCCATGACCTTATCGCTATTATCTTCAGTCAACAATGACTTTGCAAGTCAACAAGCTGAAGGGTATAAATGCCGATGGATGTCGAGGGTTCTCTCCACAAGTATCCTGCTGTTAGGAAGGCGAATTTCCGATGGGCAATCTTTCTGTCTTTAAGTCTTCTCCGGTAGGATAAGATCCGGCTAGTACTCTGGGCTAGGAAAAACAAGTCTCCTCACTAAGAAGTTTCTGAGGGATTCACAAGTATCCTGGGAAGCACTCCGAAAATTGACAAATTTTTGGGGACACTTCACATTCGCAGTATTTTCGTCATCGTTGTTTGTAGCTGTAGTAATGAAGCTTGATTGCCAAGTCTGACGTACCACACAGAACCCGCGTGGCAACCCCAAAGCAACCTTACTAACCATCCCTTTGCTACAGCTCCCATTTCCAACCATTCTGACGTAAAAGTCTTGCGGAAGTACCCATTTTCAACGTTTTTTAATAATGGTAAACAAAATCCTGCGGAACCGCTGCAAACTCTGCTTGTCCTACGGAATTTCCGGTGAATTGTCTAAGTTAGTGAAAGTCAACAATGTCATACAAAAAATCACCACGCATTTTCGCTTACGCGACACTAAACGTCAAATGCCCGCCGTTTAGTGGAGCTTCCACTTAATCGGTTCCCAACCGTTCACAAGGTAAATGCGGCGCCTGCCATACAATCTTCTCGCGTAGGTATGATACTTAATTTTATAATTGTTATAAAATGAATTTTTCTGTAGCGTACCCGTTCTGTCTGCGTCCATACTCGTCCCATTCCGTAATTGCAGTCAATAAATGGTCCACGCTCAACGGCTACATATTCGCCGTTGTTCTCCAGATCGTTAAACTAAACGATGCAAATTTGAAGCATTTATTTTTTGCTTTGAATAGTGAATAGATCTGGGTAACTGGATTGCACTAGTGAAAAAAATCGAGAGGCTTTAACTTAGGTACTCAAGCAACACATATGATTCATTCTTGTCAAATCAATTCAATTTTAGCTCCGGCCAGACCGTACACTACCGTACTCGAAGACGCCGATTGGTACTTCAAGTAAGATACTGGGCGAGAAATAAGCTGAATCTACAAATAAAAATATGAGCTGCCTCGGCCACGGTCAGGTAGAACTCCCGATTAGGCTACAAAACAGTCCTGGTAAGGCCGAAAACATACGTCACGCAAATTCGCGACATTTGGCAATATTCCAAGTGGTCATAACTCATCATAAGGGGTTTCTGAATGTAAGGAAGATAGGTCATTTTATCAACCTACGAAAGTTAGGAGTGCTGTCGTTTAGGGTCTACCAGTATTGGATTTGAAAACATCTGGCAAATTGCCAAATCGCGCGACTGAAATCGCATGAGGTAAGCCTTGAGCCTAACCCAGATTTGCACGGATCCTCCTGCCTGTAAATACTCACATGCTCTACCCGAATACCGCCCGTGGTGAACAGCTTGTTAACTGCTGTAATTGTCCCCAGCTTTTCGGTTAGTGCATCCAGAAAAAGAATCTAAAATTAGTAAATTACCCAAATGAAACTTGGAGCAAACCAAACTCACCCAATGCTTGAACTCACGTCGAGTAACAGTGACAAGCTTGCCTGGATCGTTTTCGCTTCCGTTCTTGTAGACACGTATCTGAAAGGAATGATTTAGAGCAAGGTGTGCGGCTCCACCCATAGGGTATTTTTTCCTGAGTATATTATGTCTTTTTGCCTACGACCGGAACTATAGTTCCTGGTTTATTTAGGTTGCGAACCACTCATGCTCAACAACTAAAACTAATAGTGGGGTATGCTTAGTCTGCTGTAAATTTAACGAGGTTTTTTTAAAAGCCCTCTGTCGGTTACAAAGCTTACATACCGGATTCATGCCACACTTGCGGTGCATTTTTTGTCATAATAAGAAAATTTACAACGTCTGCGGGTCATTGTTGCTTAAAGTCCGTAAGTCAGCAAAACTACCCCTGAAAATGCAGATGGGGTGGTGCAACGGTACGAATTCGAGGCTTTACTCTCAAATACGTATGCTGTATGAGGAATTTTGCAACGGACTCGTTTCTGTCTGAACATGATAAATTAAATTTTTAGGGGTTTCTTTTCAAATTCTAATAAGCTTCCATATTGGAGGCGAAAATGGCAGCCCTTTTTCTTGAGATTTCGGGACTATGGACTATAAAAAGAATGGAAACCACCAGCATTTTTTAGCTGAAAAATGTTTATCGCAGGCATCAAGGATCCTAAAGGTGGAGCTCAACACTTTATGGCTAAGCTTTTCTCATATTTTAGCCCCAAAAGGTTACGGTAATTTTCTTTAAATTAGAAAAGAATTATACAGCTATCCAAAAATTGGAGAAAATTTTGCAAAATTTGGGCATATTGCCATGAAATCTTAGGGCAAATGTCCTTTATACACAATACATATTTCCCACAAAAATGATGAACAGAAGAGGCATAGGGCATTCGTAAAATCCTGACGATGGCTCAACCGCGCGCGACACGCACGCGCCTTCCGGAAACCGCAGTTTCTTGGTTTCTATCTCTACTTCAGTGGTTTTTCTGCACAGGCATGATAACATCCACACACTGGAAGTTGAGCTGAGCGTTGAGGTGATACCTTTTTGTATGAGTGTTTTAAGCTCCTGTGCGCGCAAAGACCGCAGACAATCCGTCGTCACGATTTTATAAATGACCTATATCTAGAAATGGGTTGAGAAAATCATAAGTTTTACATATCGCGAGATAACCATAGCTGGAACCATTTTCTTCTCAATTGTTCCAAGCAGTAATTTTATATAGAGCTATGGGAAGAAGTTGCGATTATAGTCTATCACACCTCATTACGCTCAAAGCATAATAGTTTCCTGTCTTACATAGCCCCTCACTGGTGAATTCGAATAAATGTTCCTTTGGTTGCAGCGATGAAGGAAGTAAGTGTCTTTTTTGGAACCTTTGCATTATTGTTGTCTTTGTGCACATTATACGTAGGCTACCGAACAATTTGCAGAAGAAATTCTGAGCCAGATGAATGATGCAGGAAATGTGACTGAAAAAAAGATTTGAAACATAATTTCAAATTATCATGAGGAATTATTTTTCACAAATAATAGAAACCTCAAGATGGATCAGAGTAGAGAGTTGTTTTCCTCTGCTCTCTAGCATTTGTTAAATAATTAATACCCAGTGCTTCCTAGAACACCACTTAACCTAATTCTCATTCTTTAGCAACCAATTCTGGCCCGTAAACAAGCTCAAAGAACGAATGTTTTGAGCGCAAGCTCCAATCATCTGACTTGTTGTGGGTGGCCCAAGTTCAGCTGCTCTATGGAAACCGCAAGCACCATCACAAAAAGGAAATTCAAGCATGTAAAATTGTAATCTAGAAATGAGAAGCGGTGCAGAAATCAATTCATAAAAGTACTAAAATGTAACTAATGCGCATAAAATTGAAAAAACTTAGTATTGAACCAGTGCCAGGTTAGAAATCTCAAAAAATTTTCTATATTAACCTTTGATTCAACTGACTCACTTGGCGGCTGGAAGGCAGGGCTTTGTCACCTAATTAACGCCGCTCGCGCCCGCTATGCAGTCTGCGTCTCTCCCGCGCGCGTGCTTTCTGATCATTATCCAGCCTTTATTAGGTCACGAAGTCCCGCCTTCCAGCCGCCAAGCCAGTTGAATCAGAGGATAGTCCTATTTATTTTTCATTTGATTTGCTACATCCTAGGCGTTCCAAGCAGAATAGTTGCAAATTGCATATACAAAGATACAGACGACTACATCGTAGAAAAAAGGTCTTACTGCGGGAAATAAGGTCAGAAAACATTTTTCTGCTCAAACTTCACTATCACTTACCCTTTTAGCTTGATAATCGTAATCGACAGGTTTTGGGCCAGTAAAGTCGAGCTCAAAATAGCGTCGTTCGGCCGAGTTCATGGCTTACCAACATTGGTAATGCCTGAGATTTTCGAAAAATATTATCGTTGTAATATCTCATGGATGCATCTTCAAAATTCAGATTTCCAAAAAGTAGATATTCTAACAGAATGATCCAAAAGTGTAAAATGTATGACGTTATACAACAATGCAACGAAAATTACGTCAAAATTTTGCGCTGAGCCTTAAAAAGGCGGCAGCACAGCGCCATGTTCTGAGATAATTGCCGGAGGTAGTTCGTCACATAAACCCTCTCCATTGAAGGGCATATCGGCGATTTATACAATTGAATAAGCATAGCTTAAAACGGATTTTTGTTAGAATGGTTTCTACAAGGAAGTGAAAGGTGTCAGGAGCAGCAATAGCAGATAATACCTCTCTTAGAACATGCAAAATTTCCGAAACAGAATATCGAGGACATGATGCATAGCAAAAGATTCGCCTTGATGAGCTGAGTACAAAGCTTTTTTTCTGATTTAGGATATATTCATTCTGGAGGAAGTTATGGCGCTGCGTAGCCTGAGTGATTTGCGTGATTCTGCGAGATTCCCGCGATGTCGCGGAATTCCCGGGATGTTTCAGACTTTCACGAAATTCCCGTTACTGCGCGACATTCACGGGAATTATGCATGTTTTCTGAGCGATATTGTAGCTGTGCACCAGATGCCGGTTGAGAAGGAAAAAAAGAAAATACTGAGGAAAAAAGGAGCATGAAAGGTGGTAGAAGGTGAAATGGGACGAAAGAAATGTTCATTGAGGATAGGAGTGCTTGTTAGAACGAAAGCTTGAGCAGATTTGCCAAACTTGAGACGACTCTCCAAACTTCCACAAAGATACTTGAGAACTTCCGTAGGACAAGCAAGACTTGCAATGGTTTCGCAGAAGTTCACTGTTCAAAAAAGCTTGTGTAAGAAGTTGGGAACTTCCGCAGGAATTTGACGTCACAGTCTTTAAAAATGATACTTTCACAGAACTTCTTATTTGATCCGAGATAAACAGTTTGCCTCTCGAGATTTACGACTACACAAGGTTTCGTATGAGACAGTCGCGAGAGAGTGCGCAAAATTTAGAGAGCATGCGCGCGAAGATTGCTAGGGGCGGGGTTAGCTCGAAGCCCATCCGGGTAAGACGATTTTTGACAACGTATACTACTCAAAACATACGGAAGCACCTCGACAAAGTTAGCTATACGATTACGTGCACCTAGGTGGACAAAGATTGAAGTGTGGCCCATTCGAAAACAAAATTTGCACCCTTCAGTAAACAAATTTGCGATTATATTGCAAAAAAATTGTGCTTGAAGCGGAATAATTGTCTTGCTGAATAGAATTGTGAGAGGGCTATGGCAATTATGAGAAGATTTGCGGGGAAATTATAAAAATGCTCCTACATGACGTACTTTCCAAAACTCAAACTGCTCAAAATTCTGCTCAGCTCCGTGGCTGTGAAAGAAGTCAGTTTTTGTTGATAAATGTCAACGCTTTCTTTTCACGACAAGCTTTTTTCATGCATCATTGCAAAGACAATGGAGCTTTCTTTGCGTGGAATTTTTGTCTCCGGGTCAGGTTTTTTTTTGAGTTTTTACTTTCTAAACTTTCAATATTATGTATAACACTATGCAATGGACAGCTTTTGAAAATGTCGATAAGCTCATTGGATCCATTCACTGTAAGACCGTCAGTTATCATATAGAGTTGCCTACCCTGTTCACACCAGGTTCATTATACAGAAAAAACTTCTAAGTCCGAACATTCCACTTTCAACCCTTTACCTGTTGATATAGAATGGTTCAAATAATGCTCTTCAATGCTTTTTGGCTAGTCATAGCTTCCATAAATATTATATGTACTATCGGAAAAGTCATTGATCCATTATAATTTTGGTTTTAACAGTTCAGTTAAGCGGTCGAAGGTCACCGATGTAGGCTATACTTTTGCTGCGTTCACTCGGCGGCGCGGTTTTGATGTTTCTGAGTAAAGTTTCATGAGTAAATCGCTTGGACGCGGCGTACACATGAAGCTTTCGTTCGATATGAAATACATACATCCATATCGAGAATAGTTGTGAACAAAATAATGGGGTTAAACCATAAAGTTGTGCTAATGGAATACGTAATTTGAATTTTCCACAGCATTTACCACCACGATTTACAATCGAAGCACTACTCTTGTGAGTACCAATTTTTGTCCTTGTATCCTGTTTTTAGGAATACAACATTTTAGGAATACTTTTTTGAATACCACATACTCTTCAGTTGTGTGCATGCAGTGCATGTCACGTTCGTATGGCCCTTGGTCTTGTTTCTCCTGAAGCCTGCAGAGCGAGAACTGGTCCCCAAGGGAGAAGAAAGTAATGAAAAAAGACTCTAGGAAGCGGACGTGCTGGTGAGAGAATTTTATTAAAGATTACTCAAATTTCTGATTTCCCTCCATTTCCGTCTAGAATTCCACAATTACAGTCATCTCTTTTAACTACTTTAACAAATACGTGTCATATAAAATTGGTCATTGCTGGCTCCAATAAAGCAAAGCAATAGCTACATTATGCTCGGTGCCAGCGATGCTCAATGCAAGTCGTCATAGGCCTCACATGCACTACTTTTGAGACAGCAAAGAACGACTCACCACAAGCATTCTTATGCTCGGATAGGACGGAAGTATAATAGAGGTTAGAATACAGAGCCGCAGAGTGAAAGCAGCGCGGATCGAGTAGAAGCAGAACAACACCTAGGCCTTAGAGTGAGAGGGGCGCAATTCACCTGAGAGCTGAACCCCACCAATTACACATCGATTTCAGGTGTTGGTGTGGTGTAAGTGTAGTTGATGGACGAAAACGGAATAGCAGCACGCATGAGACGCGCCCCCGTGGGGTGCAGGTTAAGTATCACGGGGGGGGGGGGGGGAGAGTAATGTCCAAGCGATTTGGGCGCGGGTGGGCGACGAGGAGTGACTTGGTGCCGCGCGCGAGATAGGCGAGCGGCCCTGATTGAGGGGAATTTGCGGAGCAGCGCTGGCTCGGAAATTAAAAAAAACGATATTTCCGGTCAGGACCTACTTTTGCGGTGAAGTGTAAAAATTGGCTTTTTATGGAATGGGCGGGAGTGAGATACGGTGTCAAGGCTGGTAACCAGTTTCGTCAAAAAAAATTTGCTTGCATGCACTTTTCTGCTATTTCTAGCTTAAAAATAATTCTGCACTTTATTATGGACATATGCCAGGATTATTGAGAACAAAAGATTATCAGTTTTCTTTTCTATCAAGATTTGTCGCCCCATCATGTTTGTCCACATTTAGTAAAGAATGCAATAAAATTTACTTGCAACTGAAATTGAGTCGATTGACCTCTCTACAAGCAAGATTTCTAAGAAAACAAAGCATGAGAAACTTTTTTCGCAAAAATTAAAGTCCATAAGACGTGAAAAATCTAGAAATTAGTATAGTCACCAGGCACGAAGGTGAACGCAGGCGAAATGAAGCGGCTACTGGACCGGCGTTTTTTCGTCTTTTCCTGAATTTCTGCTTTTTAGCTCGGTAAGTAGCGCTCCGGTGTGCAGCAGCTGAGCACGAATATTGCCGAATATAGCGGAAGTGCGGATAGATTCACATGAGCATAGACGGGCATGTTCGTTGCAAGAAAAGTTGCGTTTTATAATTTTTTGATACAGTAGCCTACTGAAAAATGAAATTCAAAAAAATCGGACTAAAAAAAAAATTGCTAAATCATAAGCATTTGTGTAAAAAATTTTTTTACCTTAACTGCTGATTTATTTTTCGTGATTTTCCACATTCTAACGAAAATGTTATATTCCTACATAAATGGACAGCATTAAAGCTGGGAGAGATGCTTGATACGTCTTACATTTACATTTTATATTCCCTAAAACTTTCTTTTGTCGCTAAATTCTAAAATCTACTCTTGTCTAAAACACTGGAACGTTCTTAAGACCACCTCTGAGGAGATCAAACTACAGTATAGCGTTGCGTAATCACCGATCGATCAGTTCACTCCTTATCAAATCAATAGGACACCACCCACAGCGCATAGCATCTCTTTTCACTGTCATTGATTACTTCTTCTGGCCTCTATACACATTGATATAAAACTCTTGTGTATAGAAAAAATGTCTCATTCTTCCAGTAATACTTTACTTCCTTTTAATGTTGAAACAAGGAAATCTGCTTACATGCACTCAACTTCGATTTCTATCAATTTTGTGTGCGCATTCAGTTAGAGGATGATTTAAGCAAACCGAGAAATCGGATATTAGCGCAAATTCTTCAAGAGCTCTATCCGGTTAGCATTAAACTGCAGATACTTTGTCATAAGTAAATTTACGTGGTACAGACGATTATATCTATTCGCTCTTTCGTTTCACTATGTGCGCAATTATCTTTCGCAATTGTTGTACTTGGTTTGAAATTTCCCTTTGGCAAAACGAATTCTTTTAATAGTTAGCGCATAACGTGCAAGTAAGCTAGCGGATCATCACAAAGTAAGCTAAATATTACTTAAAAGTGACCTAGTTTCATTCCGCTATGACGATTTCGCCTTGCAAGTGGATTTCCTAACATTCTTTTTTTCTGCATGGGGGATGATAAATTTGAAACAGTAATGCCGTTTTAATATACCACAATCGCGGCTCTGCCCTACCCTTTGTTATTTTTTCAATAACTATTTTCTGGCCTGTTTTATGCTATTGATGCTGATCAAAAATAAGCCGTTTTTTCAGGCCATTTTTCACGACAACTTTTCCATCAAAAATCCTTAGTCGAAGCAGATATAGCATACCACTGAGAAGCTCTTTTCATGTTTTATCTAATGATATTGAAACAGTCTTCCAGCCTCAACCGTCACAGAGTTACAGTGCTTCGAATAAAAGCAAAAATTAGAATTTTGTTGCATTCAATTTCTTCGCCAGAATTCGCGTGAATGAGCGGCGCTTCTTCGAAGATTTGGCTAACGTATGTGAAAGAGAATCTCTACATCACATAAGCTTAATTATTTCCTAAGAATTAATTTAGAGAGATATCTGCGCGTTAACATAGGTTTGCCACGGTCATTCTATGACCCATAAAGTTCTTTCGAAGAAGGCAATCGCCAGAGCTTTGCACACTGTTGACAGTTTTTGCAAAAACATTCAGCTGTTTAAAACGCAGAAAATCAGAATTTCTATGCTTTGGGACTTCGACGACTGAAAAAATGTTGAAATGCTGACAATTTTGGATTTAATTTTCTTCCCTCCGCCATCTTTTTGTCCAAACCCTTCTCATTGTCTTTTGTGCTACTGTTTTCCGACTACATACGCTGCTTTTCACTCGCTTGTCTAGTAAGAAACTTCGGAGGGAGTTATGACTTGTTGAAAACAAGGTTTCAGAAAAAAAATTTTTTTGTTTACCTAGCCATATTTATCTGACCGTGTGAGGAGGAAGTATAGATGAATGTGCGATGTAATGGAGAATCTTTGCTGCTTGTGATCGTTTATACCAATTCAGAATTGTGAATTTTTTAGGAAGTTATAGCACGTCCAATTGAGAATTCGCAAGACGGTCATCATTTTTGCATCAACCCGATGCTTTACAGTGTTACGGGCTGGGCATACTTCGCGCGATTTCAATCGTGACGCGATTTGGCATTATTCCAACTGTCCATAACTCACTGTAAGCACATTTAAAACGTGCAGAAGATGGGACATCTTCTCCATCCACGTAAGTTATACACATTATGCACGTGCAGTTTGCTAATGTTGGATCTGAAGAATTCTGGCGACTTGCCAAATGCGTGGCTATTGGAATCGCGTAAAATATGTCTGGCCCTTTAACCCAGGTTCATTCCGGTTTTCTCTTTTATTTTTTTGCCTTTTCAAATCCATTCTACCTTGCGTACCATTGTCTTTAATTTGGAAGTCTTAGCCTTCTTTCTCTAGGTCTCTGCTGTATTTCTAGCTTCCGCTTCCGCCCATCTGAAAATCATTACGCCCTTCAGATTTTCAAGTCAACTCAGAAGTTGAAATCACAATCATTCTTCTCTTGGTTAATCAGTCCTCGTCACGTGATGTATCTTATGGAGTACGATCGAAAACTGGCTTTACCGAATGATCTCAGAGGGTTATCAAAGTGACCTTTTGCAAAGGATTTTTGAAGCACAAACATGACTCTGAATCAATACATGACGGCTGATTCCAATTCCACGCTTCCAAGTAGCTCTGTTACGCAATAGTCTAACTGATAAGGTTTTCTCGTTCTCTACACTCATCAATTTGTAGCCCCAAAGACGTCATGTAACCGTTGATCTACGCTTTTTTTTGAAATTTGTCACGGCTTTTGCTTTTTGACTGAATAATCGAAACTTTCAGAATGAAGTCGTTGGTAGAGGCCGATTGCGGTGGTCCAAATGCTCTTGTAGGATTAGCACAAAATTATGGAACATCAAATCAACGGATCGTCCCTACAGTAAATCGAGGTGAGGCTTATTCCAGCCTCAAAAAAATTGGTTAACGGAGATCTTTTTCGAAAACTATCCTTTTGATGATTTTTTATCGACGCGAAAATCAACCTACAAACTATATTTTACGCGGTAAAAGTCACGTGCCGCTTTGAAAGATAATAAAGGCAGTAAATACTCTCCCGCGTTGACACCCCATTTCAAGCCTGCAATTTGTGACAGATGTCCGAAAAACGTCTCAATGTGAATGTTCGTAGATTTAGGACCAAATGTGAGTTAGGAGCTTTGATAATTTTATACAGCTAGCAATCAACAAGATTGATTGATCAGCTTATACATATCTTTCGATAGAAAAAAAAGTATAAAAAATACCAAATAAATACCTATATATTATTAATCATTGATATGTTGACCCATATGCTTGAGTTTATTATTTAGTTTTTTTTAATTTTACCTTATCATCCAGGCTTTTAGGCGTTTCTTCACTTTTACCATCAACTTCACTTGGAGAGCAATTCGCTAATGATTTTCTGCAACGAAAGGCCGCTGCGGCTCCTGCGCCGGCATCATTTAACATGAGTGTAAGTTTAACCAGGTCGCCGAAATGGGCGTGGCTTGCTCAAATTGAAAAAATATTGGTTGCAAATTTACAGGCTCTAGCTGCTCAGCTCCCAAAACAATCATCTTCTTCTAGCTTAGCTAATAAATGGACAAATGAGTATACCGCACAGCCAGGGCACCAGGTAGCTACCGTAATCGCTTTCTGTGCAGGAACCTTCAACCTACTTCTACATTTTTAGTTGTCAACACAGTGGTCACAGCAATATGTTGCATCCAGACCAGCTTATGAAAATGCTTGGGCTGGAGCAACCGGATTAACAGTGCCTTACCCAACTCTTGCTCAAAGGTAAATACAGCCTTTTGGTGACCAATCGATTATCGATTGGCATGCGGGCGCACTGACGGAAATTTTTTTCTGTCTGAAATGAATGTTTACAGTTCCACTTCTGTAGACAGTGCTATGTGGTCAGCAGAATTTCTAGATAACGTTGAATCGTCCATGACATCATCATCTGTAAGTAAACAGCCACTTTTTTTTTATATTTACCCATTCAGACCAGGGGTTTCGATTACAGATATCAAATGAGTTGACGAGTGAATTGGCTGATAGTTGGGCTCAAGAATACACAGCTGGTATGCCAGATGCTTTTGACAGTATGGAAAAGGAATGGGAAAATATTCGAAAAAATATTGCGCTGTCACAAAAAGGAGAGGCTAACTTGACAGAGATTGATAGCTATGTACATCAGGTAGGGCAATTATTTACCCCCATTCTCAAGCCGGATGCAAGTCCCATTTGTCCCTGATTCAGGAACAAAATCCATTTCTAACATCTGCGGATCCGTTGACGGAAGGTGATCATCTTATGCAAGCTGGTGATCTTGGCAATGCTATGCTGGCCTATGAAGCAGCAGTACAGAAGAATCCACGCGATGCTGAGGTTTGTGGATGTATCGATTTTATTGATTGATTATACCAAGACTAGTTAGAGCTTTTTTAACCTGCTCAGCAACGTCTAAAATTCCTTCTTTCGCCACTTAATGTCCCGACTTGATTACTGTACCCATCCTCTCCTTACCGTACTCTTGTTGTAGCTTGCACGCGTTCTTCAAGACTGTCACGACAAGCTAGAAGAATCTGTTAAACGAAATCCAGAAGATGCTAATGTAGGTAAAACAATAAAACGTAGCACCCTCCTCTCCTTTGCTTGCGTGTAAACTTGCATCTTCTCCCCTACCCCTCTACTCGGCTCCAAAAAAGCGGTTTATATTAGGTTGTCCGGAAATTAATGTCCGTTTTTCTAGGCCTAGATTCCAAACAACTTTTTTTCGTCAAACTTTCTATTACGATATAGAATCTGCACATCATTGGAAAGCTTTCTCCATGTACTTTCTAACGGTGGTGGAAATAAGCTGCTATCCTCATCTGTGAGAATTTCACCAGCATTTTGCATATCCGCACTCAAAATCGAAATTTCATAGCTTTCAGTTTCTTGACCACAATTCAGGAGCAAATAAACGAATTCTTCTGAAAACATAGCAACTGTATTAGATGAAGATTGTTTACCTACTGCATGCTCATCTAGATTTTTGGAGGTAACTGGACTGAGAAATTGACGCCTCGAAATAGATACTTACTGCTGGCATTCTATGGGTCAGAAATTTCTCATAATTAAGGCAATCGCCAAAGCTTTGCCCAGTTCTGTAAGCTTGAGATGAGCACACCTTAACTACAATATCTGAAGAGAAACTTGACTATTCAGTGCAAGAAGAATTCCACATTTTCATAATTTGGCACTCACAAGCCTACAAGAAATAGACTCAAAAAAGTGAACATTTTTGAATTTTTATCTTTTCTTTTCGCACAACTTCTTCTTTGGGGTCTTTTCTATACATACGTAAACATGTGGCCTGCGGCTACAAAATAAGCTGATTGGCAGCCATACGACAAAACTTGAAGGGAGTTGTAAGCTCTCAAAGAAGAGGTTTTCAAAAGAAAAACTTCCACTTTTTTAACACATGGTTTTCTTCCCGTTTGCGGTATTAGTATGAGCAGATGTGCGCTAAATTACAAAAGGTTTGCTGTTTCTGATGGTCTTGATTGCATTTAAAAATATGAAGACTGAACGAAGTTATAGCCTTCCAAAGTGAAAATTTGCAAAACGGACATTAATTTCCGGACAACCTAATATTATGAAAATTCGTATAAAACCATCATCTAGAGGAACATTAGGCTTTACCCATAGGGACTGCTAGTCCTCGCAGCGATAGGCAATAGCATGTGTAAGAGGAACACTAGTCCCAAAGACGGCGCCTATTGGTGGTATCCCTTTTTGCAAGCATAACCAATCGCTATGGTACCTTAATTTATTTTAAAAGCAGTGTTAAAAAAAGGTACCCGCGTTTTCTTTGTGGAAACTGTTTGAAGGCCTTGATTCCTAAAGCAGCTGTAGCTCAGTTAGTCTTAAGGCCCCATGCACTAACATCCCCGCGGGGAGGGGATCGCAGCTTAAAAAAAAAGCTTTATATTTTGAAACTCCAGATACCTGGATTTCACATTGTGTACCTATCCGTAAGTATTCCTACTACCCTTCACTATGAACATGTTGAAGAGGAGCGAGAAGCTGTACGAACCGCATTTTCCAGCTTTAGTATGATCCCTGATGATCCCCGGCGCTTTTCTTTAAAGTCATTTTTCTTTCTCCGAAGTTAACGAAGAGCTCCCAAAGTTGTGCAGATTATCTAAACCGATAATGCTAAGCATGTTGCTGATAAGAACAAATGATGTTTTGAAGTCATGAAATTTTCCATGATCCACAGGTCGAAATTTGAGGTTTACCGGAAATTTCGACTTTTCAAAAACTCATTGGTTTTCATCAGCAACTGCTTAGCACTGTTGTGTTAGATGTTCAGTACAACTTTCGAAGGTTTTCGTTAACTTCGGAGAAAGAAAATTAGCTTCAAAGGAAAAGCGCAGGGGATCATCAGGGATCATACAAAAGCTGAAAAATGCGGTTCGTACAGATTCTTGCTCCTGTTCAACATGTTCATAGTGAAGAGTAGTAGGAATACTTACGGATAGGTACACAATGTGAAATCCAGGTTTCTGGAGTTTCGAAATATAAAGCTTTATTTTAAGCTGCGATCCCCTCCCCAGCGGGGAGGTTAGTGCATGCGGCCCTTAGTCTTTCATTCGTGGACGAGAAATCACCCTAAACTCTCTCTCCCGTAACCGTAAACAACTCGAACGAACCAATCAGCTTATTTGGATATGGTATGGAAGAGCGCTGAGAGTCGAATTTCTTAAAAACGAGTGAATTCTATGAGCTACGATTGGGCGGTGCGTAGCTGTTTTCCCCCAGTTTGTCTCAACATGAGAAGTGAACCGTAATCTGCAGATTATACCAGTCAAAAAAAATCACGATTTTTTTGTGGCAATAAGAATTTATCATACATTTTCCTCGTTGTGTTCTAGTGTGCAGAAAGATTCACATTTTATGAAGAAAAGTACTTCAGGCTTGGTGTCGTCTTGGTCTATCGCATGCTGAAAATGAGCATGATGGTAAAGCAATTGCTGCATTCAACAATTGCTTAAAGATTCAGCCCAATAACGAAGAGGTGGGTTACTAGAGTCTATAGATTTGGGCCTTAGGCATCTCGTGCTTACTGCAAAAAATCCACGAATTTAGTTGATCATACTGATATTTCACCTTTGCTACTTTAGGCATTACTAGCTTTATCTGTGTCGCTTGCGAATGAGAATTCTGAGAATGAAGCTCTACATCAGCTGGAAAAATGGCTTGTCGCACACCAAGGAGGTGATCCAGCCAATGTGCAAAAAGCCCCCAGCAGCTTCAGTACATTTTTGGACCACGAAACTTTCGCAAATGTGAGAACCGAGATTTTCAGCTCTGTGCTTATAAGCAATAACTGTAAATTCGATAAATTCTAGGTTGAGCAACTCTTTTTGAATGCTGCTCGGCAACAATCCGGGACTGCGGATGCAGCCTTGCAGAACGCCTTAGGAGTTCTGTACAATTTGAACCGAAACTATGAACGAGCTGTTGAGTGCTTGAAGTTGGCCATAGCTAGCAGACCTGATGTAGGTTATAACAATATTTGACGTAATGTATAGGCGGTTCATCGCACGCAGAGAAAGGGCGTCACTACGCACGCTGTCTGCGTCTCTCCCAAGCGAGCGTTTTCATCCTTCTTGTCGTCTACTGTCTCCCCAAGCGTGAACTATCTTAGTTAGTCTAACGCAAAGGCATCCATTCTGTGATGCGATGACTCGCCTACGAGTGACCTTGAAAAATGATTTCTTTCTAGGACCCTCGGTTATGGAATCGCCTCGGTGCTACCCTAGCCAATGGCGATCACACCCCTGAAGCAATCGCAGCCTATAGAGAAGCCCTGCAACGATATCCTACTTACGTTCGAGCACGATATAATCTTGGGATCAGCTGTATGCATTTGAATAGTTATCGGTAGGTTGGAGCGCGTTTTCTTCCCTTTGGCACCAAAAATGCAAATATTTTAGAGAAGCAGTGGAGCACTTTGTCTCAGCTCTAGAACTGCAGAAAGGTGGCTCGGATAGCTCATCCATCTGGCCAACGCTAAGGTCAGCCTCCATCAGAATGCTGGATGCTCCTACGGAGATCTTGCAGGCTCTAGATCGACGAGATCTGAATGGGATCAAAGCGATATTATCGAAAATGAAACCTGTATAGATTTTTCTTGGAAACTATGTCAATACGGGATTTTTCTTGCCTTTTCAAATCAGAATTTCTACTGACCATTGTAAATGCATATAAGGAATAAAGCTATGAGATCACCCGATTACGAGAGCAAGAGAATTTTTCCTGGACAGCAGACGTCCTAATTAAACCGTAAACCAGTGCGAACTAGTTCAGCGAATGCGGCGCACTAAATAACGGGCTGCTTGGCATTTGGCGTAATGTAAGGGAAAATCAAGAATATCATACATAGCACAAATAAGAGTATTGACCACGCAACGATAACAAGTAATCACCATATTTTCAATATAGGAAAAAGTTGCTTGAAACCTGAAAAACCGCCAGGCTTGGTTTCGACCTACGCGACACTAAAGTCAAGTGCTCGCCGTTTAGCCCGCCGCATCTGACAGTTGGTAAGAGCTTGGATTTGACGTCTGCTCAGGAAGAAACGAAATAAAAAAGTTAGATTACTTGGAATTTTGCTGCAGTGGAAAAACTCGTTCTTCACAGAAAATAAATTATCAAAGACTTTAGCAAAGCTCAAAAATATGGAGCATGTCAGCATAAAAATGCGAATTGCAATAGACCACAAGTCAGGTTCTCAAAAAATTTCTTCTAAAAACATCTCAAACAGCTGATCACATATCAGCAATTGAGTAAGAACTCTAACCCACCCGTCTTTCCCCTTCCCCTCCCACCTCTTCCGTCGGGCACATGACCTCGGGTGTTGATTGTGTTGAAGGATTTATAGCCCCGTACAATAGACAGACACATATCTTAGTAGACGACTATCACATGAATCATGCACATCTCAAAGATGCCCGATGGGGCTCTACGTTTAGCCGCACACAACTCGTCCAGGAAAACCTATTTATCTTGCACCTGGCGCGCCTGTCTCTCAATCATTCCTACACCGCTCTAACCGAGAAAATGCTTTCTCATTTGCTTTTGCTATCGAATTTATCGCTATCATGAAAATGATTGCTGATTTTTCCCATTTTTATCCATTTATCGAAGAATTTGGAGAAGAAAAAATCCAGTCATACAGCAGTTGTTTTTATCTTTTCGACAAACGTTACTTCACTTTTATGGCAACTAGGAATACGATGTGATCATGAGGATTGACCGAAGGTCCCGCCATGAACGGCCGACGATTGGTCCCAGCACGAACAGAAGTGAAAACAAGCACTAAAATTTCAGTCGGTAAAATTGTAAATATTGTTGCGCTAAATTTAATTGAACTTGTCATAAACTCCTTAATTTTTCTCAGTTCCGTCGATCATATTTTCCCTCATAGTTTCGATTTTTCTTGAGATTTTCAGAAGCGCATGATTTTACTACTCCTTGCTTTTCTATATTCTGCAGCTCCTGTCTCGACAAAATCGTTGCTTCACTTCTACGGACCCTCGGATCTGGGTGTAATCCATGATGATCGACCTACGGTCCCACCACGATCGCAAGTGAAAACAACCACGAAAACTTCGATCGATGAAGTTGTTGCGCTAAATTTACCTCAAACTTTGAACAAAGACCCTATAGTAAAGCCTAAGGATGAGATCAGTAAAAGTGCCGAGGAAAGGAAGCTACCGATCTTACGCGCGGAGACGGAAGCGGAAGCGGTAAAACCCGCGGTACAACCGCAAACCAATTATGTGTTAATGGGCTCAACCAATCAACAGGTGGAGCCGCAGCGGCAAATTCTGCACGCGGCAGAAGTGCTAGATGTCGGTGGTCATTCGGAGCGAGACCGACAACAACCACAAAGCGATGCTGTACTACGTAACTCACTAACCCATGTCGAGATGATACCGACCGATGTGGTGCCAGTAGTAATTACGACAACTGCCACTTCACTACCGACAGCTGACGCTATGATATTACCCACACCTTTGACTACTTCTTACGAAATGCTGGATACAAAAGCGCCGAATCTTTCGAAAGAAGTTGAAGAGAAGAGACATGAAATGGATGTGGACGAGTTACCCAAGGCTAAAATGTTCAGCGTCAAGGATGCACTTCCAAATGTGGCGAAAGATGAACTTCTTGCACTGGATAAGGAAGAAATGGCCAAAGTGGTAGTGACTTCGCCTGAACCTCTAACTACGGTACCTCCACTGGAACAGAAGTCAAAAGAAGACGAGGAGGATGTGGAAGTTTTACCTGACTTCGACGAGAAAGGAGATGTGGAATTGGAATTTCATGACGAATCTGATGTAAGCACCACCTCTACTACGCCTCCAACAATTCCGGAAATTCTAACGTCGCCAGAACTCCCGCAGCCGAGCACGACCGTTACCGCTACTGCACAAGATCTGTTCGTAGCACCTACTGATATCAGCGAAAAGGGTAAGTACACTGTTCGATCGATATATTGATTGCATTAGATCATTTCAGACTATCTTAGTGAAGATGACGTCTACAATCTTCTTATGTTCGTCATATCTCTCCTACCTGATGTTGAAGAACAGCCTAGCACTTGGTCGAAAATCATTGCTGGTCTGCAGGTATGGCCCAATGGATTGATGGTAATAGTGTTCTCACGGTGCCTACAACGCTTGCTCGTAAGTAACGTCTATCTGCTCTCTATAGTCGTATAACCCGTTAGTCGTAAGCAATTGTCGGTAGCATTTGTTTTCGGGCAAATGTTGTTGTCACCGCAAGGGCACTATATTGAGCTTCAAATCCAGATTGCATGCAATTCACTTTCATTAAATTGTTATCGATCAATAATCAGCCCTATTTTCAGTGTGCCCTGAGAGATTGCCGTCGAGCATTCCCATATCTTACTACGGTTCCTACGCCTGTTGGAAATGGAACATTCATTATCAGACGAGCACGAGGTTCAGAGTGCATATGCACCATCGATAGATTACAGCTCGAGGATGAGGTACGGTGGTAACAAATTTCATCTGATGTTGCTTGAGGGCGCTGTAAACTTGTAAGTGTAGTTAATAATCCTACTGCAACAATATGAGCAATATCTCCGTAATTTTTTTATATGGCCATGTCCACTACAATATAGGAGGTAGACAATTCTCTACTTATTTGTTTCCTTTATATTGATGATCTTATTTTCTCAGCCTACTATCAGGTTTTCCCAAAATCACACTTCTTCTCTGAATAAATCAAGCTCTTTTTGATTACCAGCAAACTAAGGGCATCGTTCGAGAGAGCGAAGAGCTCCACATGACCGCCAAAAATTCGTCTAAGTTGTAATCCAGATAAAGTCTGGAGCCAAAATCGAAATAAACTTAAGATTAAGAATCGAAACATCACCTTAAGATTGGATTGCGAGAAAAATTCTATTGACTTCCAGCTTGGTCATTAACAGTATACATATAGTAGTACTTAAATATGCCTTCGCTAGGTTTTTTGCGTAGGCGAGAAGAAAGATGGTCCACAAATGGCAAATCCCGCCCCAGCCCCTCCCACATAAGTCATTGTATACCACAACCCTTAGTAATTGTAATCTCAAAATTTTGCCTCTGTTTGTGCCTTGGAAATCAAAAATGGAAATAGGAGGTTTAACCTGAAAACTCGAAAAAAGTAACATTTTTGCTATTTCGGGATGAATTGTTTTCTCACTGTCAAGCCCTAAAAAAGATTCACCAAATCATTTTTGCTTACTATTATGTGCCAACGTATAATGACCAAGTTAGAGGACCGTAAGAATTTTCTGGAAGGAGATCCGATTTCTAGGGAAGTTAAAGATTTCAACTTTTAGCTCTAAATTTTACCTGGATTATGACTTAGGCGATCTTTGGCGGTCATTTTATGGAGCTTGCATTACTCTATCGAATGGTAACTAGGGGTCCGCTAGGAAAACAAAAACATCTTGATTATGAAAAGGAGTTTACTTTTGCGACAACCAAGAAACGTTTAACTAATCGTGGGCTACCTATACTGCCATACCAATAGAGTTATTTTGATTATCAATCTGCATAATTTACTGGTACTACCGCTTTCAAAAATTCGACGCTGTTTGATTTTACATAGCTCATCTGCATACGATCCTAGTATTACAAAGCAAATGTTCGTTTTCTTGTACAGTTTCCTCTTTTCAGAAATTCTGAACAAATGGAACTTGATCAGCGGAATACGTGTTGCAAAACAGGGTATATGTAGAAATGTAGATGAAGTTGCCAATGTGATTCGATACATATGAGGTATACATAAATATGTTTTTTAGTCGTGCATTTTCAGTTTCAATGAGAAAACCTTTATTAAATAAATATTATTGATCGAATGAACAAGTCTGATTAATGTAAAGTTCAGTCAAATTTGATACATTTATACGAGCATCTACAATCACATCCGCATCTAGACTGTATTCGTTTCTTATGTATAATTCGTACTGGTTCAACTCCTGTGGCACATTGTTCCACACCGCACGCACAACTGCACTCTTCGCACAACGCTGCAAAAAAACTTCGAGTTTTTATTTTTTTGGAAAAATTTTGTGAACTTACGGTCAGTTGTGATTATGGGAAAGTCAACCGATTGGAAGGGGCAAATTTCAGTTTTCCAAAGAAGATCGACAAGGGTTCGATTGGTGTTGTATTGATGCCAGCATTGTAAACCGCGGTATGTCTAAAAAGAGCACTACAGCAGGTACAGTGTCTATGTATGGTTTGGTGCGGGGCGGAGCTTATGAGAGGCGCGTCGCATCCGCGCGCACATCACAAACAAGGCATTTGTTTGCAGAAAGTGAGATGAAAGTGTATAGAGAATAGTGGAAATTAGAGCATGCCTATCACATCTCACGCTATCCTCGCTATTGATTGTTATTGATTTATCGATCCATACTTACCAAATCCGCTACCAGCGAATGCGCAAAATCTAGTGTTGCTATATTGATTTGATCATTAATGCATGATGTTGGATCGATTCGAACATGTGGTGACGAGCAACAGACAGGATCTAACCTGTAAATAACTTGATTGATAAGGTTTTTTGCAAGAAAAATGACGTCATTCGAATGACTCACACAATAGCCTGCGTAGAATTTTCGAGAAGATAGGCGTGGAAGCCGCCAAGCCATGTGTCGCCGTGACATCCTAAAATGGGCGGGGTTTGCTCAGTCAATAAATGATTAGTAGAAAATCTATTTTGTAAGATGTTAGTCTATTAAATCAGCATGGCACACTACAATGAAATTGTAAAATTGTAAATAGACGTCACTTTCTTTTTATTTATACCGTATCGGAGCCAATCAATAAAATCAATAAGTTGCTTATGACACGATAACAAAAAATCAGAGCTGTATGGGTGGAAATTCTAGTGAATTGAAGTACTTTACTAAGATTGGGCCTTAGTTTCTTTTGTAATCTCTGCAAGATCTTTTTGGGACCTTCAGACGTAAATCTTTAATTTTTTTAGTTTTTTAGTTTCCAGAAATTATAGAAAGTACCTTCTAGTTGTCCATTACACTTCGGTATACTCGGCTGTTTGGCGCATGTCGTATAATCTGGGCGGGCAATCTGCAAATGGACCAATCACGGCGCGACGAAGAAAATCGATAAATCGATCTGCTTACTTGTTCACACTCGATCGTCAACGAGCCTAACACGTTATAATAGGTTTTCGTACGTCGAATTGCTGATATTCGATAGCCCGGGTCACATTCTAACGCCTGCAATGGATAATTAGTCTAGAGACGCAGATATATCGTACTTTGCTGTCTGGCCTCTAACTTGGCGAGGTAACTCGTCCAGACTTTCTATTTTTTGGCGTCCCTTGAGAATTTTTGCTTGGAATATGACCCAATAGTACATGAGAATGTTACTGAAACGTTGATAAACTCACATAGTCAATATCAGCGAAGACAACGTATGTGGATAAAGCGCAAATCAGGAAGAACAACCATCCACAGAACATCTTCAACGTAGAGAGTGAGACCGAGATGAAAGTGAAATTGCGTGCACCGGACACGGTGCTTGAACAACGAACACAAACGAAGACGACCGACGACCTGGATCGGATCCGAAATGTCCGAACGCTCATCATTTTCCAAACACACGTGCACTTTTTTGAGGTTGTAGTTTCGTTGATGTTCGTAGTTCTGCGTTTTCACGATCTCAGATTAAGGAAGTCGATAGATTTAATAAGTTCAAGCATGAGCTAGCAATTTTAATCTCCAGTATTCGGGTCAAGGATTGAAGAGCTAGAAAAATTCCAGAAAATCTCTTAACAAAGCTTTGAATCTCCAATCTTCTTCACCTCTTTGCGTTTAATACAAAGTTTGTATTACAATTTGGGCTCAGAAATCTTTGCGAGTGATTTCCCACTTTTGCAAGCTGAATAATTGACTTCCATTAGCGTTCCCAACCCTCGCTCAGTTGTTTTATTTTCACTTGTAATTAATCATTCACGATTATACGACCCACCGGTGGGTCATACGTGTTCTGCCATTCCGGACAATACGACCCAATAGTGGGTCGTATGCTTGCTGAAGTTTCTGCTTTGCTAACTTACGATCAAACTTTTTGGGCAAAATGAGTAAACTTCTTTATATCCCTCTTGAAATGTTTTTTAAAAGATTAACATTCAGACCATAGGACCCATCAGTGGCCGGAAAATATTATGGAACCTCAATATTGCGAAATGTGCCTTGGTCCGAAATATCAGTCATCGAAAAATTGTCCTTTCGTGAATGTGTTAACTCAACTTTTTAGAAATTCAAATCAACTCGTGAAAATATCTGGGGGCGTGGCTAGTGCCAAAAAATGTTTCACGAGACCATACCTTGCAAGAGAGCCACGCCCACTTTTTGACCGGTGTTTTACAATCGCGCTGAAACCGTGACTCAGAAACGTTTGAACGTGGCTAAGCCGCTCAGCATCTTCACCTCCCCCCTCCGCTTCTTCCTGAAAAAAATCTTGAATAGCCGATGGTTTGTTAAGTGAATTTTTTGAGAAAATTTACTACAAAGGATTGAAAACTCTTCTTTGATTAATAGGAACTTAAATCCGGGAAAAACTTGCTATCCTCGCGGAACTTCTTCCAAAAGAGTGTTTTCTTCGAAACTTGGGTGATTTTTGACAGAATGTCTTATATCTTAGAAAAGCTACAAACGCCCCAATAAAATGAAAGTGCTGAAGGTCCCAAAATTTGATAAAACATTGGTTTACCCTCACTATTTTCTCCTTAATCCCTATACCAGCCATTTGACAAATTTACATGCATCAATATCGTGGGGGTAGAGAAGTAGTGAGAGCTCTTATGATCAAAGCACATTCTTTGACTTTTGAGCCGGTTTTTTCCTAAACGGAGAGAATTTTGGTGACAAATAATATATTTATTGTTCTTTCATATGATAAAACTTTCGCTCAATAAAGATGAGTTCATTTATTTGTTAGGAGATTTGCCAAGTAAATCTTCTCGTCACCACCGTGGACATTCCGAAGCTCGGACGCATCTTCTTGCCTTATTTCGGTAAAAGTTAGCATCGCACTGACATTTCGGGGGCCCACAGTTCTTCGTGCATTTCTGGAAATTGCAATATTAAATGCATCTAAACCATTCTACCAGTTGGCTTACCGGTGTCCTATTCTCGCAGGTGGGTTCACACATAGATGAACAATTCGTCCAAGATTCGTTCACCGGGCAGCGCGGTGGCGGTGGCGGCGGTGGTGGTGGTGGCGGTCGAGTGGTCGGGAGCGGTGGAGGGTCTGAAAATCGGATGTAATTTGATTGAACCACGAGGTATATGTACATCTTACCATTGCTTATACACTGAGGGGCTGGAGCTGGGCACGGTGGGCGTAAACACTGCTCCGTCACCATTACACAACGAGTTCCACCTGGGCACTTCACATTGGCACATGTAGCTTGTGGTCCTGAAAAGAAGGAATATCCTAATGGGAATGCTGTATACACTCATTCAGCAACTTGGTGTAGGGGCAGGTGGAGGAGGATTATGCATTGGAGGAGTAGGTGGTGGAGGTGGTGGAGGCGGCGGTGGACCTGACGAGGATAATTGACACTGGGTAAAAAAAAAGTTTTTTTACTTACGATTTTCCACGCATTTTGGAGTTCGACCGGGACCAGGTTGTTCAACCATCTCACAATGCAATCCAGGTGCGCATCTTATATCCGAGCAAGTTTTCGGAGGTGGAGGAGGTGGTGGAGGCGGTGGAGGTGGTGAGGGTGGACGTGGTGGAGGTGGTGAGTGCGGTGGAGATGGTGGACCATGTTGTGATGGACCTGAGCAAAACTTAAGATATTATGACCAGAAACCATGGAGAACCTACCCTTCCCCTGTTGGGCCCAAGCAATGGCTAGACACAGTGCAAAAATGACCTAAAATGAATTATTAGTAAGAACAGGATTATTTGCGAGAAAAAACTTACTAGTTTCGGTCCTCTCATGACAAGCACTTGTTGCCAACAGTTAGTTTTGATAGATTCAACAAATTAGTTTAATACCTCAAACTACATGTGCAATAGAAAGTGTACACTAAATCAACTTGAAACCATACAATTAACTCATATTAAAAACATTGATTGTATAAAGGAGTTCAAATGGAAAATAAGAAATTCTCAAGACGTAGAAATCGAAGATAAACGACAAAGAACGCAGCCCTTATATACCTCTCAATGCCAGGGCTGATGTGATCCCATCAATTGAAACATTTGATTTCCTAAGAGCTGCTGTGGCTGGATTCCATTTATTCTTGGCGTTATACTTCATGTTCGGCATGTACAAGTTATTAGGTTATTCTCACTTATGAATTACCAAAAACTAAGGCAGTTTGCTTTCACGTAGCCTTGATTGGAAAATTTTCAGGAGCGCTCCGGTGATCTCGATATGCCATGGTGGTTCGATCACATCATGGTAGACTCCATTACCACTTCAAGTCTTTTTACCAAAGCAGTTCAAAATCTAGGGTTCGCGAGATCAGTATTTAGTCGCGCTATTCATATTTATTCAAGATTTTTGTAAAATATTGTAGTTTGCTCAAAAACTTCGATAAATTTTTATCAACAAGCAGCATTCGAAATTCGTTTTTGTACTTTTTTTCGTTCTTAGGTATCCTACTTCTTCTTCGGCGACAAATTTAATAATTCGAGGGTTCAATTACATTATCTCGCGCATGACACCATATAGCAGAGAAGCTAGGCAAAAATAAGACTTAAGGTGAGAAAGAAGGCCAATAATCCGTCATAATCAATCAATTATGAATAACTCGAGTCGGTCATACCGAAAACGGATGTTCAACAACTCAGACGATTCACCGGAACTTCCGCAGAACAAGCAAAATTTGCAGCGGTTCTGCAGGATTTTGTTTATTATTACAGAAGTGGATAAGTTAAAAAGAGAACTTCCGCAGAATTTTCACGTCAGAACGGTTGAAAACAGAAATTTTCTCAGGGCTTTTCGCAAAATGCTGCGGAAATTCCGAAAAATGCCAGTGGTTTCGCAGCACTTTGATTTGTCGGTACTTCCACAGGACTTTGAATGTGTTGCTTCTAGTGACCCGGCGGGACTTTCGCAAACGTTCTGCGGAAGTTCCGGTCAATTATCTGCGAAGGCTATCAGAAGTGCCTGTGTTTTTACTGTCGGATTTGACAGATTTTGTGGATTTGCGGTTTTACTCAATTTGATTCCGATATCATTCTTTGCAAATTTTTGTGTTTAATTGCTCTAGCTCATTGTTGAACCATTACATTTTTCATATATGAAGTCGAAAAATGGCTAAAAAACACATGGAAGTAACATTAACAAAAACCGAAATTGCATGAATTTGTAGCTAGATATTTGGCTCATCTATATTTGGAAGCTTTTGCTGGTTGGTGAATTGCTTCGTCATAAGTGATTCCTCTGATGGATTGATTCCAGAGCTTGATGTCATCTGATATGGTTGGGATTGCACTTGAGCCATGAGCATTTCTCGCTGTTCGCGTCGCCAACGAATTCGACGATTTTGGAACCATACTTTCACCTAAAATGGTGAAAAAAATCATGACGGATTGAGAGTGGTTATAGCGAGCGATCACTGGTTTCTAAAGTGATCGATTTGCAAGCCGATCAATAAATCAATAATCTCACCTGTGGAACGCCAATGTTGAGCAAGGCAGCAAGTCGTACGCGTTCGCTACCAACCAAATACTGCTGGCGAGCAAATGCATCTTCAAGGATCCGCAACTGCGATTGTGAGAATGTGGTCCTTTGCCGTTTTCGTGGATCTAAACTGAATTTTTTAAAATGTAGATGAGCTTGTCTTATTTTCATTCGAAAAACAAATTTTTAGTCTGTTTTGTAGCTAAAATCGGGCAAAAAGAGGTTTGATGCTGAGCAGCCGCGACGCAACCGCTTTGCAATCGCTCGCTTCGAGCTTTTAGGTGCCAGTTCTGGAGATTAAGGTGTTCAATCAACACTTAGTCAATATCGAAAATGCGATCTAGATGCTTCTGATTTTTCCTTTTATTCATAAAACCATTGGTAACTTTAAGCTAATGCTGTCAGGCAAAAAATGACAAACAGCACCGCCGCGACGCAGCCGCTTTGCAACCGCTCGCTTCGAGCTTTTAGGTGCCAGTTCTGGAGATCAAGGTGCTAACCAACGCTTAGTTAATCTCGACAATGTGATCTAGATGCTTCTGAGATTTTTTACTTATAAAACCTTTTCTAATTTCAAGCTAATATCAGGCAAAAATGACAAATAACACCGCCGCGACGCAGCCGCTTTGCAACCGCTCGCTTCGGGCTTGCCTAAGTGACAGTTCGGCAGCTCAAAGTGCTTTTTACACCTAGTCAGACACGAGTCTGAACTAGTGGTGGTTCAAAAACAAACAACTGTGAACCATTGTGCAAACATATTTGATGAGTAAGCAGAGGCTTAAATTTTTTGGCGGGAGCCCTAAGGGATTAAAAATCATCTTAGCTGAATACATCGACTTGATAAAATCGAAAAATAAGAAATACTTCCGAGAAAGTGCAAGTTCGACTTACGAATTATGGAGTTGAAGAATGGGATCTATCTCTCTACACAAATTCTTATTACAGCAGTGAAAATGGATTGATAAGAGATTCCCAAAAAGCAACGGTTGGGTCCGAGTATAAGAAAAATCACATGATAAAATGTTACTCCGTTATTGTGATGGTAGTACTGAATTCTTTTTCGCAGAAAATGTAGATCACTTGAAAGGGATTTACAGAATTGAAAAACCATCTACTATAGGGTGCTGCTCATAGTACCGTCAGACGAAGTGCTAGAAGATGTCGTGCAACCGGCAACGTCCATTTCAGTGTTGGCGGATGAAGAGGGCCCGTTAAGGCCACCCACATTGCTGACAGGTTATTCCAGCCGAAGAAAGCGGACATCGACATACTCCGTTTTTTGACGAACACTATTGTTAGCGCATATCATTAAAGGCAATTGACGCTACCACACACATACAGACGAACGAAAGATGGTGACCCTCGCCGTTTTGCGCCGCTAGACCATGTTGTACGGATTTTAATGGCCATTTATTATGGTAATGGCAGTAGAATGTTGTATGATGTAAGAACAGGACTTAGTTTCCCTTATAAGGTGTGCCTAGCCCGAAAGCTCCAGTCACTATTCGGGGAATCGATTTGCTTGAAAGCCTTTAAGAGTGTTTTTTTCAACTAAACCAGAAAACGTACTTCTGTAAACTAATAAAAATTTTCGGTCCAGATTCGAAATCATGGTAGCCTTGCTAAAGAAGCATCCTCCCAAAATTTTGGTTTATGAAGGCAGGCGTAACTCCCACGCTCCTCCTCTCGAAAAGATTTCCGAACCCCCCCCCCCAACTGTCTCATATTTTTCCGACTTCCGCTACTACTATATCTTGTGCATGTTTAGTGCAAGCATTAACTAAACAGTGTTTTCTTCTTTAGGAATTTACCAATAATCACCAGTTATGAATAACTCAAGGATTACAAAAAAATACTACGTCTATGTCATATTTCTCTCTACTCGCCACCAGGCCCTGCGAGGAAAATTCACCGTTCAAACATCGTAGAAGATAGGTGACGTTTCATCATTCCTAGTACAACTTACATTAGTTCGTGTTCGGAAATAAAGGAAAAACTTGCGTTTTTTTTTTGTTGGTGGAAATTGATTTTTGCTTCTTACCTTGGAGGAGGAGCTCTAATTCTTCTTTGGATTTTTCCATAAAAATAACTTAAAACCAACTGAACACCACATTTTTTAGTTAATTATTCCTCAAGTCAAAAGCTACATTACAGGCAATTTAACACCGCAGACTTCGGCTTCTACTTTCATCTGGAGATAAGACAGCTTCATGACTCACATGTGTGTTCATCAAATGTCTTCTTCTGTTATCCATGATAGGAAGCGGTCACAACTGTTTGTTTACCTCAATGCTTCTGTAAACAAATGAGTTTCCGGCAGTAAGTCATGGTACGCTTAAATACCGCAAAGGCTATTCAGTTACCCAGTTTTTTGACCACACGTTCTCTTACTTCTTTCCAAATTACTTTTACAAGTTACAGCCCGCCCAGGGTCAACATTGATAATTGTCACCTCAAGTAGTAACAAGATATTTACACTCTTTACTGACCTCTTTACATGTCTAGCAAATTATCGATTACTACGAATCTTTTTCTCCATTCTCTTTGGGTAGTTAGAAGTTTTCCAAAATTTTTTCATTTTAGCAACAAAAGATCCGCGCCATTTGCCTGAAAGGATATTCTAGAAGTTATTTGTGTGCCTAGTCTTTTTTACCTAGATTGTATTCATGATATTCCTCAATTATTTTGCAATTTTTTTTTGATTTACGGTACTATGAGCAGCACCCTATAGTAGATGGTTTTTCAATTCTGTAAATCCCTTTCAAGTGATCTACATTTTCTGCGAAAAAGAATTCAGTACTACCATCACAATAACGGAGTAACATTTTATCATGTGATTTTTCTTATACTCGGACCCAACCGTTGCTTTTTGGGAATCTCTTATCAATCCATTTTCACTGCTGTAATAAGAATTTGTGTAGAGAGATAGATCCCATTCTTCAACTCCATAATTCGTAAGTCGAACTTGCACTTTCTCGGAAGTATTTCTTATTTTTCGATTTTATCAAGTCGATGTATTCAGCTAAGATGATTTTTAATCCCTTAGGGCTCCCGCCAAAAAATTTAAGCCTCTGCTTACTCATCAAATATGTTTGCACAATGGTTCACAGTTGTTTGTTTTGAACCACCACTAGTTCAGACTCGCGGCAAGTGCTCACCAAATACCAAGGGAGTGGCGGTAGAGGTCAACTTGTTTTCCGTCAACCGTTTGTCAATCGACAAAAATATTTTCTACTGATAAATTATGCTTCATTTTCAACTATTTTCTTGCAGGTCCTAATTTAATGACTTTTTGGCAGAATCAAAAATATCCCATACAATAACATCAGTTCTCTTCGATGTATTTTCTAATTCCATTTCGAAAAGGACCCCATGTGCTTCTTGCGGACTGATGTTGTGTCATATGAGGCCAAAATTCAAGGTTGTCTGGTGTTAATTCGATCATAAAATGCGCTATTAGGCGACTACTTTAGTTTCTGACAATTCATAAGATGTGTTCTATTTTTGTAGAAATTTTGCTACATGCTGCTTTTGGAAAGTTTGTTCACTTATTCAATGAAATATTGCAGATTTTTGCACAGAATTAACTTAAATCGAATAGAATCTAACAACTTTTCAAATCTTTGACCGAAATTTGCAGTTTCTTTCAAAATAGAAGGATTGCGATCTACGAGAATTACAAATATGGTAACAACGGGTTCTTGAAAATGTGGTAACAAGGAGATTTTTTCTGTGAAGTGACTTTTTGTTTTAGTGTCCCTACAATTTCATGCGAGACACTACGGTAATTTACGGATTTGAATTATGCCAGGAATTTTTGCAAAACTAGGACTAGCATGTGACACCAATTTTCCTGAGGGAACATTCAAAATCGCAAATTTTCAAGTGCCAATTTGGGAGCCTTGTTCACAATAGCCACTGAAAATTACGGCTGAAAAACTGTATATGAGCAAACCTCCATCGATTTTTGAATACAGAACTGGCAGTTTGGATTTAGATTTTGAAAAGTTATCAAATTTTTTTCCAACTTTCGTGCCGACCCTACGCAGCACTGACACTGACACTTTAGAGTCTTAAAATTCGCATTTTTTTTTGTTATTTGAAAAAATGAGTCGATCTGCTACGAAAGACAACTGCTATTCAATGAATGAGCTAAGCAACCAGTTATGCGATCAAGTTCCCGTCTTACCACACGCAAAACTTGTTTACAATCGCTAAGAAGCGATTTACGTCATCGCTATCGCTGTCTGTGCGGGTGTCCCCGTTTTGCCTAATTCGGTAACATTCACAGGACGTTGAGAGATTGTGCCGAGACGAGAAAGTGCAGAATCATAGAAGAATCGTGTTGAAGTGACGAAAGATCGCCCGCCGATGCAGCACTTGTACGAGACCGCATATGTATGCGAGATGGGCGCATGGTGCTGTCGTAATGCAGGACGCGGTGACCGAGTGCACACCACTGACACTTCCGCGGCGACACAACGCACAGAACGAGGTAGGTCATGGATATAGATTGGTCCTGAGCGGATATTACTGTAGCTGTACGGTAAGTGTACTGTAGGATAACTGCAAGCAACTTTTTTGTCTTTAAAGTTGATTCTTGGCTAGTACGATCCATCGCTTCACTTATGTCATGTTTTTGCAATTACGCACTCTACCTATTGACTTTTTATGCATATAAAAAGGTTATTTCGTTCTGAATCATAAAATAAAAAGCACTGATCGTCCCTAGGCTGCAGTGGCAGCACAACACACAGAACGATGTTGGTCCCGTGCGGAAGTTTGTAGCTATACTGTAAGTGTACTGTAAGATTACTGCAAGCGATTTTTTTGTCTTTAAAGTTGATTTTTGACCTTTACAATTCTATTGTGACTAATGAAGCTTTTATGGGATCAGTTGTAAGTGCATGAAGATGAAAAAGGCATGCACCTTGAAACATTTTCTAGACAAATCGTGATCAAATTTGTAGATTTTTTGCCTTTGAAGTTTTTTCTGTCTCAAAGATCATTTCATCACGGCAATATTGGTTACCTACAAACTCACTATTAATCCTTGTATATTTTTGAGACTGTTAATAGCTTCAAACGTCAATCGATACTACTTTGAAAATTTATAGTCCTTATGAATAACCACTTTATGGTGTTCATACAAACAAACGATGCATCCATTTCTTGAATTTGGTTGAGTGCCTCTTATGAGGAAATTATAGTAGCGGTACCGTAGGATTAGTCTAAGCAACTTTCTTATCTCCTAAGTTAATTTTTGGCTTGTACGTCCAGAACGTGATCATGTTATAATCAATTAGAATTTATGTCAGTTAGTTACAAGTGCATAATGGGCATGTCCTTCTGAATCTACCGCACTAGTCGCTCTCTTTTGGTCCAACATAGTAACCAAACTTTATTCAAATTTTGCCACTACCACATTTATTGTAAATCGATTTTAAGAATTATTTTCTGTTTTTCTTGCCTAAAATCATTTTGTTTTAATACGTACTGACATCTAATATTTAAACTTCTATTCAAAAAAAATTGTTGAAGTTGTTGCTACTTTTTGAATAATAGACTCACTGCTTTGCCTTGCGTCTCCGTCCCTCCTTTGCCTGGAAATAACTGTGATAATACTGTGGGTGTACTGTAGGATTACTGTGAGTGATCTTATGTCTCCAAGTTTTGGCTTGTACGCTTCAAGGCCATGTTGATACTAATCAAGATTTTTGTCGGACAGTTATCAGTATGAACTTTGTTCATTTTTCAAAACTATTCTCGTGTGTGATACCGTGAGTGTAAAACATGAAATGGTTAGAAAAATTATAGACCAAGAGTGCTTCCCCTGCTTTCTAAAGGAAAAGTTTTCCCAAATTTTTCTTTGCAGTTTGATTTTTCCCATCATTCGCATTCAAAAGCCACTGAAAATTTACGGCCTCGTGAATAAGCATTTCATGGTATCATGAAACCAGACCGAGATATCAAATTATTTTCGTGTAAATTTGAAGATTCCCAATTTGCGTAAGACTATGGTAGTAAAATGTGGTTGATACGATTTTATAGTTAAATATTTGCTCAAGAAACATGTTATGAAAAAGATCCGCCCTTCTGCTTTTTGATTTGCTGATATTCGTGAGAAGGCTGTCACAATTTATGCACTTTGACATGTCGTTTGGCAGTCGGTGTATGTTCATTTCCTTGTTGAAGACCACCTTTTCAAATTTCTGTGTCGATAGGAAAACCCATACATAGTGGTTAATGACAGCTCTTATCAGTCGTTGGCCCATCTCATAACGTTGCAGGAAACATTTTACAATTGCCATATGCTGTAAAATTGATAAGGAAATTTTTCTAGAATTAGACAGAATTTGTGTTTAACATCACATAAAAAAACAGCTTATTGCAAATTTCTTATCTCGAATATAATGTTGAGTGTAGTCTGTATGTGTAGCGTTCTTTGAACTACTGATTGTGGTTTGGTGTAATGAATAAACATCAAATGTGGGATTGCGAATTATTGTTTTCACTATCCTGCCCACAGAATCTTTCCCTATCTACATTTAACATATCTTTAATGTTATGACCAGGCTTAAGCTTTTATTTATAAGGCTGTCCTCAAACGTGTTCTATAATATATGACCGTTTACGAGGTTGTTCGGAAAATTTCTTCTTTTCTCGAATCATCCACCAGAACTCATAGACCACTAGTCGACGAGAAATTTGGGAGTCATTCAGTTTTTTTTTTCCCCAAACCTACTCTTTTTTTGATCCACGCGGTTTTCACACTACAACGTCATTCGAGCAATTTTGAGTACTCGAACTTTCCTCATTTTCTTTCGAAATTTTGACACAAAATTTTTGGGAAGGTTCTGAAAGCTAACATATTTTGTCAAATTTTTCCTTACGTTTTAGTTGTTCAAAATTACTTGAATTAATTCACAGTTTGAATAATCATTTATTTATTGAAATTGTGGTTCACTAGAGTAGCGAGTAAGTGTACCGATTCCAAAATTTGATTTAAAAGAATCAAAACTGAATATCCTCCACGGATGATGGTCAAACAATCAAGGCTCAAAACCAAAATCTGAGGATTTTCATGTTTGCATCGCAAGTTGTGTGTTTCAAGGTTCTACAACAAATCGAGATTTCCGAAGAAATGTTTTTGTAAAACTCTGAACAGCAGACAAAAAACCCAAAACAGTAGATTACAACAAAATCCAAAACATGATCTTATGGTATAATATCTTTCTCTAACGAAAGTCCAAAAAAACTTCTTGAATGAATTCTAGGCATACAAAAATGGCGCGCGCAAAAATGGCATTTTTCGAAGCTTTTGAAAGCTTTCGGTTCGGGAACAGAGGAGTTATGAGAAAAAAAAATTAAAATTACATCGAGTACATGTTTCAAATCTTTTCAGTCGTTATCATAGGACGTTTTATGATCGATTGATAAAAGCGGAAAAGCTTTCGAGAAGACCCAATAAAAGCAAACCCTATATTGGAATTCATTAGGGAGCCTTAACAATGAACAAAAATATCACAAACAACTGCAAAGCTATTGAAAATGTTATCGGAATGATTTTCTGGCTTATCGAATTTTTTTCCATCGTTTCTATGCTGTCGTGTCGGACGTGGTGATCATAATCGCCAGCTGATTTATTCTAGACTGCTGCTGTTCAATGCATTATGTGTATGTAAGATTATTTTTTGTTTTATTACGCTTTCTCAATTTGTTTGTTTATTTTTCAATTTTACAACTCTCTGAGAAGGAGGTAAACACTAGTTTCAAAATGAATCAATCTTTCGCTTTAAATATTGAAGGAATTACACTTGACAATGATTTAGATCTGGAAGAAGGATCAGTGGGACGAGTTCTCGTTTTTGTTAATCCACATTCTGGAGCTGGCAAAGGAAAGAGGACATTCCGACGGCTTGTAGCTCCTAAACTAAAGAAAAATCGGATAGAGTATGAACTCATCATAACGAGTAGGTGGAGGTTTTTTGTTGAAGAGTATTACAATAAAATTGAAATTTTGAAAATGAATTTATTTCCAGCCGGGCCAAATCATGCGAAGGCGGTGGTACGATCGCGAGAAGATCTTTGTAAATTTAATGGCGTGATTATACTATCTGGAGATGGTCTTGTATTTGAGGTGACTTTTCAAATGTTTTTCAAACAGTTAGGGATTTGTTTGAGCAAATGCTACTGTTGACTTGATTTATAGTTAAGTTCAATGGCATGTGTTGTTCCCCAATTATCAGAAACTACAACAATATTCGCAGAAAGATAACATACAATGAGTTTAATTTTTGCGAGTACTGGTCCCCAGGTCAGATTTAAATTTAGAGGAGAATTTTTACGTGAATGACCAGTGTTGTATGTTACAAAAAATAACTACTCTGCCAGTGTTGTATTGTGAAAAATAACTAATCGATGCCACAATAAGGTCGCAGAAGTACATGAACGAAAACTGGTCCACAGGTCTTCAAATCTCTAGAAATTGTAATGCAAAGCGTTTCTGATCTATTTTCTCAACAAAGAAATATTATTTGCCATAATGATTGCTTTTCTTTATCATTCAGGTCCTCAACGGTCTTTTTGAACGACCGGATCGTGCAACTATCATTCCTTGCTTACCGATAGGAATTGTACCGAGCGGTTCCGGCAATGGTTTACTTTCTTCGCTCTTCGCCAGCCGCGGGTCAGTATAATATACTATTTTTGTAAAGAAAAAGAATTAGTGATGCATTTTAGAGAACCCCTCAAAAATCCGGACTTCACAAGAAGAGCAATCGAAATCGCTTGTTCTCCATGTGCACATGCTCAGTCAGTGAATTTGATTCATATACAAACCGAAAAGGACAATTTTGCAGCATTTCTTAGCGTAGGATGGGGATTGATGGCAGATATTGGTAGTTTCACTCTTATTCCACAAATATGTAAAATTACTAATGATATTTTATTCAGATATAGAAAGTGAGCGTTGGCGTAAAACGCTAGGATCAAACCGATTTGTTCTCGGCGGGCTGATAAGAACGTTAAGTAAGTCAATTTTGACAAAGATAAGTTTTCTTGGAACATGACTTTTAACAAATTTTCTCAAGAATTCAAATAAAATTGACTTGGAAATTTATGGGCTTCGTTTTTGATGCCGATTACAGATCTACGAACCTATCGAGGACGATTAGCTTTTAAAGTGTATACGGGTGATAGGTATATAACCAGTGAAAGCTTTGATCTTTATGCAAAGACCGCTGGCGAACGGGTAAGTCAGAAAATCGATTATCGATTTCCGAAAATCTTTTGAGCGCCAATTTATTCAGATGTTGGCCACACCAGAAAGTAGTAATGTTGATGAGGTCTGCCTTTCGCATCGACCGCTTGATACAGCATGGCGACATATGCACAGTGAAAGCATGGGCGATGTGGAGGACGAGATTCCGGAAGACTGGACAGTAGTCGAGGACGAGTTTGTCTCAGTCTATGCTGTGAGTTGTTTATGATCGTGAATGGATATGGGCAAATGAGGGGCAGCAAATCTTTTCACATGCGAAATCGACGCCACACCCACTTTTGCGACGCCATCATATTTGTCGGGACCCGTAATGGCGATCCGTCACCTGCTTTCCCACCAGAATGTTGAAGGCGATCCATTCTGTAGTGTGAGCTACGCCTAGAAATGATGGGGTGGATTGCGGAAAAGCGCCTTCAATAGACGCTCCGCCTCCATCCATTTTGCAGAAGAAAATCAGAAGTTCGAGATCTTTTCAGACAAATTCTGGCGCGATGTAGCGAAGTGGAGTGAAAGTGGGCGGAGCTTTAAGTTGCTTGCGCTTTCTTTCTTCTTCGTTCTCACCTGCATTGTTACTTACAAGGGAAGTTCGCTGAATCGAAGTGGCCGATTGATATGTGGTATATACCCGGGCTCGAGGCTCGGGAGGTTAGTATCAAATGTGCGCCCATTAGCTGCGACGCGTTATCGTGATTTTGGCGTGTGCATGTCTAGCGAACGCACAAATTGTTTGACCGTGGACGTGTGGTGTAGTGATTAGCGTCTCGAACTCACAAGTGACCGGCGAGGGTTCGATTCCTGTTGATGTCCACGTTTTTTGCGCTCCTCCCAAATTTCATTTTTCACCTGCTTATGTTTTACTGAAGTGAAATGCTTGCTGTGAGGTAGAAGAATGCAATGATATTATATTTATTCGTTGTTCACATCGCGAGAAATACCCGTGCTTTTACCATTTCGTCATAGCTTATCACATATGCTCCCTCCATATGCCATAGTTGCTTATTTGAAGCAATCTAATATTATATAGACTTTGGATAAAGTTTAATTGGTCAAAGCGAGAAGTTTGGCCGCAGATTTTACATACGAAACATTGGTCAAATATTCGTGAGAAAAACCATCCCGTAAGCCGTGTCCGTCATTTTTTACCTCAGTAATGCATAAAACGAGTAAAAAATGAGTTTTGAGAAGAACGCAAAAGATGTGGACAACAACAGGATTTGAACTCTCACTGGTCGGTCACCTGTGAGTCCGAGACACTAACCACTACACCATACAGTGCTGGCCAAAATTATATATCCACTCTGAAAACTGCCGTAACTCATCTGCTTCTCAACGAATTAATCTGAAATTTGGTACAGCTGTGTGTTCAACAGGCTTCCATCATTGACCGGAGCGGATCCCGCTTTGGTTTGGTTAATCAGGAAAAAATCAAAAATTTCGAAAAAAGCAGGCACGATGGTTGGCCAAAACTATAGATCCACCTAAAATTTTTGTCCACTAAAGTAATTCTCAGCTTCCAAAGTCTTTCGTGCATATACATAGTTGAAAGTCAAAACAGTGGCTTTAGTCCATCTGTGTCATACCTTTATAAGAAACGCTTATCTGCTTTTTTTCACTCAAAAGTACTTTCATGCGTATTTTGTTCCCGAGTATGTGTTTTTATAGAGGATTCCACACTTTTTTGACTGGTTTGAAAGTGATAGGGCTCCATTTATCTTACAGATGTCTAGCAGTGTGAGCAGTAGAAAAAAATTCGGGTTTCCGTACCCAAAGCGCACCCGACATAAGCCTAACAGCAAGCCTGCGCTCGAATTTTTGCCTTCAAAATTGGTGCATGCTATTTTTGTAAGCTCAAAATAATGTAGAAGCATTATTTAGCATATCTACATAAAAGGAAGTTTGTAAACTATAGTCACGATTGTTTGAGAAGTCGCATTTCAATTCTTTTTTTAAGCATAAGTCCGCGGTGTGTTCGGCAATTTCAAAGTACCTACCAAGTGGTACCTTCCCTGAATTTGGCCACTATCTAGCTGCTAACTAGTGAATACACCCTGTATCGTGTTTTGCCTTGTGACTCACATAAGCATTATAATCAGAACCACAAATAACTTCAGGGCTTGTTGCAAATTACTTTTTGCAGGATGAAGTCCTCAATCAATTAGCCTGCATACTAGGATCTGCAGAAATCTGCAATTACTGCATACGGACTCTCATACATACTAACAATGTCATTACTTCAGTTCACGCTCGTGACAACATTGCAGAAAGAGTTTGAAGGCATAAATTTGAACGCAGGCCTGCGGCTAGGTTTATGCCGGGTGCGTTTTGGGTACGAAAACTCGAATTTTTTTTCTACTGCGCACACTGCTAAGCATCTATAAGATAAATGGAGCCCTATTCCTTTCAAACCAGTCAAAAAAAACGCGGAATCCCCTGTAAAAACACATTCTCAGGAACAAAATACGCATGAAAGTACTTTTGAGTGAAAAAAGCAGATAAGCGTTTCTTATAAAGGTGTGACACAGCTGGACTAAAGCCACTGCTTTGACTTTCAACTAAGTATATGCACAAAGACTTTGGAAGCTGAGAATTACTTCAGTGGACAAAAATTTTAGGTGGATCTATAGTTTTGGCCAACCTTCGAGCCTGCTTTTTTCGAAATTTTTGATTTTTTCCTGAACAATCAAACCAAAGCGGGACCCGCTATGGTCAATGATGGAAGCCTGTTGAACACACAGCTGTGCCAAATTTCAGATCAATTCGTTAAGAAGCAGATGAGTTACAGCAGTTTTCAGAGTGGATCTATAGTTTTGACCAGCACTGTATGACCACGACCGTGGCATTTATGCTTTCGCCAGACATGCACACGCCAAAAACTTCAGAGGGCCATAACTTGCTTCACAATAACGCGTCGCAGCTAATGGGCGCTTATTTGATACTAACCTCCCGAGCCCCGTGCCCGGGTATATACCACATATCAATCGGCCACTTCGATTCAGTGAACTTCCCTTGTTAGAAATTGGTAAAAGCCATCGGTTTTGCTCATATTCTCCACCTTTCACTTTTTTTAGATCCTAGCTGAGACACTACAAGATTGTCAATTTAGGTTACCCTGTCGCACATCTCGAACGTAGGTCCATTTGCTCCAAAGGCTCTTATGGATGATGACCGGATCTATTTAACCTATATACTTCGGAAAGATTTATCTAGTCGATTTGATCTCATTAACTATCTGTCAGCAATCGAAAAGCAAAAACACTTGGATCTATCATATGTTAAGGTAGGTGCTCCTTGATCAAAATAAGTAGGTAAATAACGCGAAACTCAGATGTCTTGAGCAGTCCGTTCCATAGCGAAAACTGGTCCCCGTGTGATAACTTAGTAATGCTCTGGTTTCATTTGATTACAGTATATGGCGTTGTCGAGCAAAACAAAAGAAGCAGCGCTTTTCACATTCTATACGATTTTCAAATCATATTCGTTACTTATTCGACGGAAAAAAGCATCAGTCCTCTTTTTTTTCTCCCTTTTCCCCACCGCCTACGTTCGCAACCTTCAACAGCAGCATAGACACCCATAGAGTTTATCCATCATTTCTGTTCTTATTTACTTGATAATTTACTTGAAATCTTTCCAGGTTGTTGAAGTATCGGCGTTTCGCTTGGAACCTCTAGACTCTGGCTCGTATTTGACAGTTGACGGTGAAGTAATTAATGCTAAAAGCCTCCAAGCAGCAACGACTTCATTGAAGACAGCTATTTTTGCACCGTAACCTCATCATCAGCGAATTTGTCCAGGATCTACCAGTACTCACTGTGATATCTATGAGCTCTAACCACAATTTTCTCTAAACAACACGTAGGATTTGAACTGCTCAAATTTACCTCAGGCATTTACTTTTGTAATTTTTGTGGACTTGAATAAATATTATTATTGAAATATTTACGTTTTGTTAGTAAATTGCCTCATTTTCATGCTGATACCGTATGAGTGGGGGCCAGTTAAGCCCGAGTGAATTAATCTTTATTTATTACAATGTATTATCTATACACCAGTGGCGGGTTGAAAAATTAGGGCGGGACAAAAACTGTTTACTTATAGGGAATTTTTTCCGCTTCCCAAAATTTCGCGGAACTGTGTATCCAAAATTTAGAGAAAAGGTGCATGGCGAGAGTCACGATAGAAAAACTCTTTTACAAACTAGTTTAGGTTTTTGAAAAATTTTTTTGGTCTTGTTAAGTTGCAAGTTAAAACAAGTCATTTGCACAATTTTACAACTTATGTGAATTCCGAAAGGTCAGCGAATTCGTCTTTGCGGGGATAGGAGGGGAGGGGGGGGGAAGGGGATTCAATTCAAACGGTCAAATCATCTTTCTGCCCCTAGACAAAATACGCTCAAAGAAAGAGTGTTAGCAACTCATGAGCTCGACCTGTTAGACATGAAATGAGATTTGTTTTTCAAATATTCATCTACCGCTTTATTGATCCCTTATCACTTTGATGACATTCAGTTGAAGAGAAGTTTCATTTTCAAACTTTTTCTTTACCAAGGAGGTCGCGCTACGTTGCGCAATAGCTTCAAGGATGAAGGTGCGTCCTACCGGTCCTCCATCCATCGGCATATGTAAAATTCAGTTTAAAGCAAAAGGACAGATGTACACAGGGCAAACGATATCGCTGCAGCTTAGCAGGTCCCAATGGTCCTAAAGCATAGCAGTAAAAGATAGAAAAACTGGCGAATCCAAATGTGCAGGTTCTAGATCGGAGTCTCCATCCTTCCTGATCTTTGTTCAGTAACATCGTTACCCGCTGCAAGTCAGGCGGTGAACAGCTCCGACGAAAGTCGCTTTGTTTGACCCCATTCCAAATTGCAATAGCCAAGGAGCTGATTAGCTACGTCATCGTTACAGCAGTTGGCTAATGTCCTCAGGCCCCTTCCTTGATTGACTAACGTGGACAGGATGGCGATTTCGACGCTGTCAAAGGCTTTCTAGTAGTCGACGAAGGTTAGGACGAGGGCAGTCGGCACTCCCGGCAGACTTCCATGACCCTCGAAACTGTCTGGATGCGGTTCATGCAGCTGAATCCTTTGCTAAATCCAGCTAATTCTTGTTGGGTTTGGGCTTCATCCAGTGTCCTAGATATGCGAGCGAAGATAATCTTTGTGTGAAGCTTATATACCACACTCAGCAGGCATATTGGACGGTAGTTCCGAAGATTCTCCCGTTCACCCTTCTTGAAGAAAAAGACGGTTCTTGACGTTCTCCACGGTCAAGAATCCTTTCCTTCTGGACATCTTCACGGTCTGAAGGTGAGAGTCAGATGCGACGCAAGAATCTCGTGTAGATGTTGTCCTCCGGCTCGCAGAATTTGACGGAAAGATGGTCTGGTCCTGGAGCCGTGGACGTCTTCACGGTCTGAATCGTTGCGCGCATCTCAGCAGCTACAATTCGTGGTGATAGTTCTCCAGTGGGAACAATGGGCATAGGCACGAGTATTGATGAGCGGAAAAGGTTGGTATAAAAGCTCTTCGTTATAGATTCCTCTCATATCGAAAAGAAGTCGGGATTCCGTCTTTCTTTGAGAACTGCAGCCAGCGGCACGTGATATTCACAAGGGTGCCTTCAACACTTCTTGAGATTTTGTCTTCGGCTGCTTCCGTATCTTGACCCACCTGTATTTCCTGAGATCGTTCTGCAAAGTCGTTCTGCAAATGACACTGGCTATCAGTCGCTCGAGATGAGTCGCACTATGATCCTGCCTCAATGATCTTCTTCTTGCGAGTAGTTCCTTGGTGGTCTTCAAAATGCGTTCCAAGTTCTTCTCAGAAGTCACTGAGTCACACTCCGCAGGCTCGCATCCTTTCAAAAGCCGTTCGTAGTCGTACGTTGGGTCCTCCTCGATAGGCCAATCACAAACTGATATAAGTTCCTCCAGCCTTTTACCGTCATAAACGACATTCTTCCTTCTGGCGTCGTTGTGGCAGACTTTCCTCTCCTGCTTTCAACTAAATCGTACCTTCGTTCAAGGCAAGCGGTGATTGGAGCCACTACAGAAGGATGAAACTACTGCGACGTCAAGCAAGCTCCACCTTCGGTTGGTGAGAATGTGATCGGTCTCCGCGTGAGTCGTTCCGTTGGGCGGTTACCATGTCCACCGGCGGTATTCTTATTCATGAAGATGGAATTTCCATAGGAAACTGAGATGGAGAGAAGCCCAATGAGCGGTTGCCGTTTTCGTTTCGGAGCCTATATCCAAACTTTCCAATCCTATAATCCTTTTCTAGCGGCATCCCTATTTTAGCGTTGAAGTCGCCCATAAAAAAGGACTTCTCGTGGCGGACGACCACCTCCACATCTTCGTAGAAAGCATCTAATTCTGATTCATCGCTGCTGATGGAGAGTAGCAGTTGATGATGCTGTTGGTCTTCTGGCGTGGAGGTCATAGTTATAGGATGGCTAGTCGAGGTGACAGGATCTCACGCGAATCAACAACAGGAACGCCTTTTCACCACGAATGATGAGGGTTCCGTCACTCATTTGTCGCACGTCCTTCTTTCTGGATTTCGTTTCCTGCAGAACGATGACGTAGTATACCTGATGTGCTCTGCAGCGTCGAGAAGATCGTGGCAGTCGCGTTTATTAAGACTGTCCTGGCGTTGTAGGTGCAGAGCATGAGGCAGTCTCCATGGCGTGCCGTCCGGGCAGACACGTCGTTTTTGTCCAATACAAAAGTTGCCATGGGGCTCTGCAGTGGCTCGCATCGCTGACCCGGGCTGGAGCGGGAGAACCGCCTAGCAACCGAAAAAAAAACCGACGGCAGTAATCCGGCCTGGCCGGCTCTTAGCTAAGCATCCGGCCGAAACCGGAGACGTCGAACTCCTTCACAGCTTGGGAGACCCTGCCAGGTATACACTCGGCTGTGCATCGCAGTTCGGCACCCGGTGTCACCCCCACTCACGTTGGGGCGGCCGACCACTGTGGAGGATGGATGTTAATTAGTTCCGACAATCCCTTCGTTCGTCTTCCAAGAGAAAGGCGGTTTCGGAGTTTTCCATTGGTCGAGAATCCTTCCTTCTAAAAGTAAGATACTAGACCTGCGGCACTGGGGAGATCTTATTCTCGAGTTTTCGACTAAATTACCTTCACTCGAAGGAAGTGATCCGAGTCACTGCAGAAGGTAGAACCTGATACATCTAGCAAGCTCCACCTTCGGTTGGTAAGAATATAATCAATTTCCGCGTGGATTGCTCCTGAGTGATTCCCATGTCCATCGTCGCTGCGAAAAAGTCGTGTAGCGGAAAGACGCTTAAAGAGACGATTGCCGTTTTTGTTTCAGACCCAGTATCCAAACTTCCCAGTCCTGAAACTCCTCGTGTTGAAGATTCGTCGTGAAATTTTCTCAGAATATTGAGAGTCTATCACTCAAATGTTGCACGTCCTTCTTCCTGGCCTTCGTTTCCTGCAAAGCGACGAGTCGTACTTGATGTACTCTGCAGTGTCGAGAAGAGCATGGAGGTTGGCGTTTGTGAAGATTGTCCTGACGGCAGGTGCAGAGCATAAGGCGAGGCAGGCCTCCATGCCGTATCGTGGCAGTCGTGTCCTTTTTATCCGATCCTCGTTCATCTTACCACCCAGCGCCGTGAGTGGGATCCGATGTGCTTTTTTCTATTGCCATTGTTAAGGATTCCCGAGCACACTTACAAGGCCTGGTTTTTGTTTTTGCCTTCCATGGGCGATCGCCGACCCTGAGTGTTGTGGAGTACTTAGCCTGTGCATGTATTGAGAAGCGTATTTGTTGCAGATTTCCGGCGGGACCTCCCACTTTCGGCGACATGTAGTTTTTAAACGGTAAGGATGCCCGAGCACACTTACAAGGCATGTCTTCGCCTTCCATGGGCGATCGCCGACCCTGAGTTGTGGAACACGGCAAGCGATTCTCACCAGAAGCCAGACGGCGGAGGACCTGTCACGGCCTGTTCTCAATAGGCGTCGCCGCGGAAACGTCGAACTCCTTTAGGCCTTGGGCAGAGCTCATGCGATTTCGTCGCGTCGCGCCCTATCATTTTGGACAAGTGTTCCATGCCTCGCTGTGTAGTGTGTGGGTCCCGACGCGTTTGTGATGGCTACGGGCGCGACGGATCGCGTCACACTTTTCGGCGTTCATAGCTAGCGATATCGTCGCGATTTTGCCGATCGGCGCGATGTCGCGTCGCTCGTTTGCGGCGAGCGACGGGGCGACCGTCGCGGCGATCCTGGACTGCTTTTTCAATGTTTTTGTAGTGAATTGCTGTTTTTGCATGTTATCAGTGCTTTTGCATGAATTGTTGCAAATGCCAAGTTATGCCTATCCTTTCTTTGTTTGATGAGGGCAGTTACAGGGGCTTTCAGTCTGAGTGTCACTGTCGACGTGGTTCAACTCCTTGCGATCCGCCGCGCGTGGGTCTCTCACGTGGTACAATACCGCATCCGCTAAGGCCTTCACGGCATCTGGTGCGGTGTTGAACCACGTGGAAGACCCAAGCGGCGCGGCTCGCGAGGAATTGAACCACGTCGACCGTGACACTCAGACTGAAAGCCCCTGTAGTCTTATTTTGCACTTTCTCCTGTCTTTCAATGTACATTTCCCTATATCTCATATCCTAGGCTGCCAAAGAGATGTGTAACAAGCCCTACCCCCTGTTCGATTGCGCATCGAATACTTGAAGAATGTGCTCACAGTCTACGTAACTCCGAAATATGAGCTTTGCATGAGATAAAAACAGTATTTTCGTCTATCATGTGCAGCACATGGGGGACGCTTCTAGAGCTGAAAACATCGTTTTGCCGCTTAACGGTTCCTTCGGAGTGTCCGCAGCCACTGGGCCTTGCTGATACTTCTTCCCTAATGTAATTAATGCTTCCCAACATTCATTTGATTATGAGCCTTTTACCAGAACCACGATGTCGTTGACTTCTCCTTTCATCGTTGATCATTTGGGTGCATAACGTTGTGATTGTTATCAAGTCGGATTCTAATGTGATAAACTTCCAAACTTCCTTTGTCTGCTGCTACACCTTTTTTGAATAACAATGATGTAGTAAAGTTAACGAGAGCACTTTTCACTAATGAATTAGAGTACGTGCAATGTGTGAAGTGTTGTACAATCGCATGAAATCGCGTCGGAGGTAGTATGCACGCCTCCGGCGACTGAGCGACTCAGTCGTCGCGTCCCAGTCGCCATTTTCGTGCAAGTCGTCGCGACTGGAGATCGCGCGACTTCGTCGCGTGAGCTCTGCCCAGGGCCTTACAGCTTAGAAGACCTTACCGACTAATGCTCGCTGTACAGTACAGTTCGACACCCAAGGCCACATGTTGCGGAGGCGGAGCATGTCGAAAAGAACGTGTCATAGGATGCAAAACCGTCCATACGAGATACGCACTTTGAAGCTTGAGCTCACATATGGGAGACTGCAGAAAATGAAATCTGCTTTCACATTTTTCTGCCCATACATGTTCGACATTCGTCGCGCTTCAATGCGAGAATGCATGTCCCAGAGAACGGTATAGTCGGCCTTTAATTTCCATCTTGCTTCCTCTTTCTGAGCTGGAAGGTCTCTTTCATTCTTTTTCACTAAACTATAAATGCTGAATTTTAGGAATTATTATCAATGAATTTTCCTTTGTAGGTTTTTGGATGCAAATCTTTCTCTCTTGTTTTGCCTCCCTCCTCTCTTAATTTCGTCAATCCATATTCTTATTTTTAGGAGAACTGGGGTGATATGATCTGATATGACTTGCTTTCAGGGTTGTATGCTCATTAAGGCTGGAGAGCCATTAGTGCAAGCGTTTCGATATGGTACAAGACGCTTGCATACATCCAGCAACAGAAATGCACGATGGCGTGAAAGCTACAAAATGGGCTATATCCAGCCAGAACTGGGTGACAAGAAACCTACACATATCATAGTAGGAGCGGGATCTGCTGGATGTGTGTTAGGTGAGAGTTAATAATGCTTTGTTCCATTTTACGCCCTTAAAGGCCACACAATTGTCTTTGTTTTTTTTTTGCATTTTGGTATTTCAGCGCATCGTCTAACTGAGAATCCCGATAATCGAGTTCTACTTGTTGAAGCTGGTCCACAAGATTATTGGTGGGACTGGCGAATTCACATGCCAGCCGCTTTGATGTACAATCTCTGCCATGATCGATACAATTGGTTTTATCACACGGTGGCGCAGAAGAACTTGCAAAATCGAGTGTTCTACTGGCCAAGAGGCAGGTCGGCTTGTATCTGATGATCTCTGTCGAGATCAGCTAGTCCGGAATTCCTTGATTCTGGTCAACCACGTCGAAATCTGACAAGGAGAGGATACTTAGTCGAAAGCACCAATCCAGATGAGACATATACCATCTTAAAGCGCTTGAAACGCTGATTCCACATCTGCAGTTTCTAGCTGCGGAGCGGTTTTGTGGGAGGAGTTATGAAGGGTGTTCCCCTCTGGGGTTTAGGCTCCCTCCAGCGATTTCTCCTTACCTGTAAGCACTGTAGAGGAGTGCCAACTGGTGGCAAGTGACCTAGTGGTAAGTGACGTGCTTGATAAAGAGAGTGTCAAGGTTTTAATCCCCTTCGCATGCAAAATTGAACTTCTAAATGGCTTTAGAGCTCTAAAGCATAAAACTTCTGATGATATTGATACTAATCGAAGTTAGAAGTGTTGAAAAACCAAAGTAATATGAGTATTATAATCTTTATTGTAATCTTCATTCAAGTTACTTACCATTAGGTCAGTTGCCATCAGCTATACTCCTCTACAGTGCTTACAGATAATGGGAGACCGCTGGAGGGCGCCTAAACCCCAGAGGGGAACACCTTTCATAACTCCTTCCACAAAACCGCTCCGCAGCTAGAAACTACAGATTTGGAATCAGCGTTTCAAGCGCTTTAAGATGATATATGTCTCATCTGCATTGGTGTTTTCGACTAAGTATCCTCTCCTTGCAAGTGCTACTTCCCTTAGAAACTGTTAATTTTAGAGTTTGGGGTGGGAGCTCAACGTTGAATGCTATGGTATGGATACGAGGGCATCCTTTCGATTATGATAGATGGGAAAAAGAAGATGGTGCGAAAGGATGGAACTTCGCGAATTGCTTACCGTACTTCAAAAAATGCGAGACTTACTCTCATTCCAAGGTAAATCTTGAGTTGCGATTTTTTTCTCGTCACTCATATGGAGTTTGTTTCTTCAGGGCCCAAAAGACCCATATAGAGGATATAATGGTCCTCGGAAAGTAATGCGTGGCAAGGCTACCCATCCTTTGCACCAAGCTTTTCTTGAATGTGGAAAGACTCATCATATCGGCACCACGGAAGATGTGAACGGTTACAAACAAGAAGGCTTAGGATACTTTGATCAGTCTATTCATAAAGGAGTGAGGTCAGCAGTCATAATCGCTTTTTTGTCAGAAGTTTTGTTACTTTTCCTTTTTTTACTTTCAGATATACGCAATTTTCTTATCGCTTCATCTCCAATCCTTCTTGTCCTTTGCCATTGGTCTAAATTTGTTTTTTTTCAGACAAAGTACATCGAAGGCTTACATACAACCTATACTTTCTCGACCAAATTTCTACACCTCTACCGGAATCACTTGCACTCGCATCTTGTTTGATAAGACGAAGGCTATAGGTATTGAGTTCATCAGGTATTGTGAATTTCATAGCATTTCTTGGCTTGCATATGCAATTCATTCCAGAAAGCTCAATTTTGTCGGCACTGAGAACATTGATTCATATAGTCGCGAGAAGATTTATTGCGAAGGAGATATAATCGTTTGCGGAGGTACGCTAGCTATAGGGCATGGTAGAGTTTTACATGATACACTCAGGGGCGATCAACTCACCTCAGTTGTTGATGTTGAGTGGTGTGGGGCCAGCCGATCACTTAAGAGCGCATGAAATTCCCGTCGTTGTCAACCTACCGGGTGTGGGCTCAAATTTAATTGTGAGTGGAGGTTTGAATTTCCATAATTTACATTTAAACTTGCGATTGTATGTATTTTTTCCATCCTTTATAGTGCTTTTCTAGGATCACTTAGAGATTTATGTGCAGCAGAAGTGTAGCCAACCAATAACTCTCTACAATAAGAGTTCTTGGAGATTTCCGCATCATATGATCAAGACTGGCTTGCGTAAGTGGATAACCATGCGTGAATGATTATTTGAGGGATCGTTCAGACCGCGCACAAAGGCGGACGAAGCCGCACAAAGGTGGACGAAGGCGCACGAATGCCTTGTTTTCCCATTCGATCGATAATGAACACAAACATACGGGGCCTTTGTGCGCCTTCATGCGCCTTTCTGCGCCTTCGTCCGCCTTTGTGTGCGTTCTGAACGATCCTGAGTAATCATCTTCACAACAAATGTATTTCAGAATGGTTCGCTACCCAGACAGGTCTCGGAGCTTCAAGCCATCTCGAAACGGGTGGATTTGCAAGGTCAAACGATGTCGTGGAACATCCAAATATACAATTTCACTTCTTGCCTTCAACTGTTCACGATGATGGCAGAACGGTAGGAAAGTGTCATGCATTCCAGGTATGTCGAATTATCGTCCTACCACCTTCGAGAGCTCCGTTTTTGTCTCAGGTACATGTAGGGAATATGAGGACGCAGTCGAGGGGATGCATCAAACTGTCGTCTAAAGATCCACGAAGGCATCCTATTATTGATCCCAACTATATGGATCATGACGATGATTGGAAAGAGTTTAGGTTAGCATATATAGTATGCTTTTTCTTGAAGACTTCATTTTTTGATAATTTGCAGTCAGTCATTACATAGCTCATTTAGGAAATGTGTTCAATTGTCTCGTGAGCTTTTTGCTCAAAAAGCCTTCGATCCGTTCCGAGGTGACGAATTGGCGCCCGGAAAGGACTGCACGTCAGATGCGGACATTGATAACTTCGTGAAGTAAGCCTGTTTTCTATCTCAGTACTTCGCAAAAGAGAAACTTCTCTCTGATCATCGTACGAACATCCATGTTTATCTGCTTTCTTTTGCAGACATGCATCTGCATCGGCCTATCATCCTTCTGGAACTTGTAAGATGGGACCCTCCACCAACAAAATGGCCGTTGTGAACCCAGAAACTATGTCTGTCTATGGAACCGAAAATCTCAAGGTATCTTGCTAGGCTTTCCCTATCCTTAGTAACAGCGTTAATCTATAGGTTGTCGACGCCAGCGTAATGCCGTCGATAGTTAGCGGCAACCTAAACGCACCAGTAATCATGATAGCCGAAAGAGCTGCTGATCTCATCCAGGGAAAGCATTTGCCACCACAAAAAGTACCTGTGTGGAGCCATAAATCTAAATAATTCCTTAGAATACCGTTATAGACTTAGATGTAGTATTTAATGTTTAGAGCATTCGTTTATTTTTTTCTGTTATGTGTAGCTTTTGTAGCAACATCTTGGATGTAGTCGTTCAGCATATTGTGAAGTATTTTGTAAGGTGCTAACAATTTCTGGTGTCGTTGAAATTCCGCAGATCTGTTTTGAAGCCTCACTTGTCGCATCTCTCATAGTAGGACTTAGATTTTGTTTTGATGTATTTTATGATAGGTGCAGCTCATTTTCGAGCTCTTTCCCACGTTATTTGTGTTAGCGCGTTCAGAGTCTATAACTTATTGATTTTTGTCTCGACGAAAATCTGAGATACTGTAATATGAGTACCGGACTGTGATTATATATGCAGGAATATCGTTACATAGTATTTATTTGGTGATCTGCAATTATTGTCCTCCGCCCTTTACTCCACGTGTTTGGTGTGACCTTAACAATAAATGTTTTTAGATTTTGAGTGTTATGTCTGGACTGTTTTGCAGTGCTGTATATTTCCTTACCAAAAGCTGCCTATATTCTTTGCAAATCACAATATTTTTCCAGAACTGATGACTTTACCAAAGTTCGAGTTTTGTGAAATTGCGGCGAACCCAAATGGATGGGGCCCGGCAGGTCCACCACCTGCGCTAGATACGTCCATTCCGTTCCAGCAATACAACAAGGTAAGTGTGTGGATATTCCAAGATCTAAATTCACTATGTCATATGTTTTTATGTTTTCGTATTTCCTTCCGACAAATGCGTTTTCTTCCGCTTCGTAATTGGTCCCTTCACAACTTTCCTGCAAGGATTACAAAGCTTTTGAAGAAATGCTCAAAATTTCATTATCTCTTCTTAATACTTCTTCGTTGCGAGAAAATCGTTATGAGCTTTGTTTGTTTTGTTAGGCTGACCGCATAGGCCGTGTTGCTGATTGGATTGGTGTAGATCGCTTTTTTTATCGAAGAGGAAATGAACGGTGAGAATTTGATGTTCTGTCGTTTTCTTTTTTCACCAATGTTTTCATAGTTACAATGAACGTATGTACGGCTCAGCTGCGAATGCAGGAAGTCAATTTGATTACGTACATGGCATGGATGAGAACAACTTCCAACTTGTTGACTCTTCAAAACCTGTGCAGCGTAATCCTCAGCGTAACTTCCGTGCTCGTCAGTTGCAGTTCCGAAAATTACTGCAAAAGGAGCAAGAAAGGCGTGATCAAGCAATGCAAGGTCAGAATATGAAGATGAAGAGAAGCATTGCCAAGTAAGTTTACATTTGTTGCTTTATTGTTTGAAGAAAACATTTATTTTTAGGGAACAACAGCGAGCTTTCAAGATGTGGCAGCGCCGCGGAGGAAACGCTCGCCAGGGACAACGTGGACCCGGAGGACGTTATCCTGGGGAGAGACCAAAGGTAGGCGTTACGGACCAACCTACTCTATACAAGAAGTTAAGTTTCTTTCCTTAGGACCGCCTTCCATCTGTGCAAGTGCGTCCAGACTGGCATGTTATTGAAGAAATGGACTTCCCGCGTTTACTTAAACTCAACTTGCCTGGCGTTGGAAGCGGTGAAGACATCGAAAAGCATCAGTACGGAACTCTTCACTTCTACGATAAGGTTTGTGATGAAACTCAACGCTCTGTCTCCTTCGTATTGACCCACAGGTTTTATTTTTCCATGTTTTAGGCTATTGACCGTGTGTCCGTGAGAACTCCAATAACTCTGCAGCGCTGTGGGGGCAATTTCTATAATGTAACAACTACCGAGGACCCTGTGATTGAGGAACTAGCCCAGCAAGGTATAGGAAATGTCTTTGCCACTGATATAATATTGGCAACTCTAATGACTGCGCCACGATCGGTAAGGACTGAGCAGTTTTTTTTACATACGAGAGTCTGTCGAACTTCTTTAGGTATACTCGTGGGATATCGTTGCCCATCGAGTGGGAGACAAGCTGTTCCTGGATAAGAGAGATACTGGTGGTATTTCCAACCCAGTAGATGCACTAACAGTGTCGGAAACCAGCGGTGACCCACCATCTTTTGAAGGCCAAAGTATCAACAATGCTAAGGTTTGTGCACTCTCATAAGCATTTGGCCAGCATTGTCACTTTTGAAGTTTATATGTCTTGATATATGTCTTGACTTGCAGGATCTTGCTACGGAAGCGCTGTTCATCAACCAAAACTTCCGCCGTCAAGTGCTCAAACGCTCTGAGAAACCTTATGTCATGGCTCATCCACGAGCTCCTTTTGAGGAAGAAGATGGAGAATCTGGATGTGGATATCGGTTAGCTTGAGCAATTTGTTTATTTTAGCAAATGAAATTGAGCCTTCACACAGATATCGAAAGTGGACTCTAGGAAAGAATGCGAACGGCAAGCCGATCGAAGTTGTTTGTCGTACAGAGCATGATGGTGTTATGGTACGTTGACCCAATTTGGATGTTAATTTCTCATTTGCTAATTATTAGTTGGCTAATTGTTGCCTATTAACTACTCAAAATACGTTTGTAGGCTGGTCCTTCGGGTGATGTGCAATTCTTAACGATCAAGTCATTCAATGAATGGGATAGTTCCCAATCGGGAGGAGTAGATTGGAGGTAGGTAGCCTTCTCAAAATATGATTTTTGGGATAGATATCTTTGGTTAAAGGTGGGGAACTCAGTTTCTTATTGCAAGTTTTTGCTGGTGTTAACACTATAGACTGTATACCAAATGTTTTGTTTTGTAGAGTAAAATTGGATGGGCAGAAGGGAGCCGTCTTAGCCACGGAGATCAAGAACAACAGCTGCAAGTTGGCTAAATGGACTGTACAGGTTAGACCTTATGTTACCTAATCAATGTTATCAAAATTGTTTATGAGTTTTGTCCTTGACGGTCAGTTGCTTGCTTAGGCTCTATATTCTGCTATCATATGCTGCTAAACACTCGCTAAATCTAATGCAAAGCACTTTAGGCTCTCCTTGCCAATTCTGACGCGATCAAATTTGGTTATGTATCACGCATGTCTGTGCGCAACAGTGCTCAGCATGTGATTCTCGGAACCCAACAGTTGAGACCAGTCGAATTTGCTCAGAATATCTCGATGAACATGGATAACGGCTGGGGAATCCTGAGATGCATCATTGACAGGTTTGTTCTCTTTGCAAAATCTTGGAAAATAGAAGATTTGTGGTTTTAGCTGCATGCGTCAACCCCAAGGAAAATACTTGCTGATGAAAGATCCACAGTCTCCCGTAGTAAGACTATACTCCCTACCTGAGGGCACTTTTGAAAGTGATCAAGACTCAAACGATGACCAGGGAGATTCGGACGACGATAGTTAGACAGTGAAGTGTTGAAACTGCGCTTTTTGAGTTTTTTTGATTTTATGCGTGGGAATCGTTAACATAACCGTTGAACTAAATAAATCTATTGGGAGTGTTTTCCCAGGCACATCGGTACAACAGTAAACACAATAAATATTTAATACAAGACAATCAAAGCAGTAATAAGAAAAGAGAGTATCGTTAAATCCCGAATATTAGAGGATGATTCTTCGTATGGAAGTTGATCTGATGTCAATAAGGTGTCAGGTAGCGAAGTTGTAGTGCTGGCATCAGAAGCTTCGGCAATATCCTGATGAACGGGCTGTTGAGCTGGAGCTGAAATACCAAATTTTTGTTTGCGGGTACGGCTTGTTGCCTGCTGTGTCCCAAGTGCTTGTAGTTTAGCCGCGTTTACTGCGATGCGGGACGCTAAACTGTATGCAGTTGGCACTTGACAAGTCTAAAACTTACATGTAGCGATGTTAACGCCAAATGCAGCATCTCCAGGTCGGAGCATCTTCACAGGTGTTGTAAAGTCAATAGGATGTACACCCCGATTTTTAGCTGGAAAATGAAGATTTAATAGGTCAAAGTGATGGGCAACTTATTCACCTCCATGATACTTAAGAATATCATCAGGATAGAACTGAATGTTTGAGTGATTGCCATCATCCAAAGCGGACTGGGCTACATGAGTATAAGCGCCTTGTTCTTGACCTTTAGCCCAAACTACAAACATTCGACCTGGTCCCAGTGGATGATCAGTGGGCTCGATCTCTGAAAAAATTAGGAGGGGTTGTCGGGGAATGCACTTGTTTTGTCAAAAATGTGCCGTAAGGGGCAAAAGGGGCAACGCATATGGTTAAGGGAAGTTGAACCCCTTGTTGTGACAAATATTCCTTTTTGCGTTTCACAAAATGCTCGAAGAACAGAAATGGTTACATGCTACACTGCAATGAATAGCTGTGGTACCGTTCTAGATTATTACGACTCTTCATCGTATGTCTTGATATGTTGTTATGCTTGGTTTCCTTCGGACCCAAAGTTTCCCTCAGTATTTCGAGTTATGGATTTGACTTGTAGTGCATTTGTACAATGAAGGCGGAGACTGACTAACTATATTCACTGCCAAAAGGTCGTACACATCTTTCTCGTTGCGGTTTGGCTCTTGCTCGTTTATTCGCATGCAAGAGTTTGTATAATTTGGCCTGAAGCTGCGTCCAGAGCCGCCGTGTGCTGGCGCAGTGCCAGTGCCGCGTTAGACGAGATCCGCGCATTGCGTATTGATCAAGTCAGCAATATGGTTCCGGCATGACGCTAGCACGGCGCTGGAACGGCGCTGGCACAGAAACTCTGGACGCAGCGTGATACGTTTACCATATTCACCTTGCACAGCTCTCCGGAACATCACTATCGTCCTACCATCAATTTCCCGACCTGCCGAGGCTAACAACGACATTTCACCATCGTACCTAGAATTAAATAGAATTCTGATTTCATACTTCATGTTTCTGTGGTTGACTTACCAGTGGTCTTCCAATGGTGTCGACCGATCCCTTGAGTAAGAATCCTGAACTCGAGTTCGTCCGTCTCTAACTGCGCCGATCAAGACATCCACGCAATCCATAGCATGCAGGGGAGCTTTCAACGCTGTCTCCACTGAAAAAACCGTTTCAGAATTCCCGTTTCTTTGATAAGGAACAATTCGACATACGTAGTCCGTTATTCCTTGGCATTACAGGTCGTGGACCCTCCTGGGCGATTTTTGTGGGTGGATGATCACGATCAAAGACTGGTTCTGATTGGGAACTTGGTGGTGGGGGATCTCTCTGAAGTAAAAAAAATCAGCGATGACTTGCCGTTATCGTTGAGAGTAATTTCTGCTATAGCCTGTTTCAACTGCACTGTCTTTTTTGCGCCATGCATACGCAACGCAGGGCCATCTGATTGACGACTATTGATGAATAATGACTGGATTGCTCGAGCCGCGAACCCCGCGCGAGGCACTCGCGAGACGGTATGCGGCGAATTGAGACACCATGATTGAGTGAGACTCTACTATTCTATGATAAGCCGTAAAAATACTTACCCTGATAGGTTGAGACGGTGGCGGCAGTAGTGGTGGCAACTCTACGGTAGAGGAACGTTTTGATCGGACACCTAAACGAACATTTAGACGTTTTTATCCATCCAAAAAAGCAGCTAAAAGGTCGCTTTGCTGCAAGATTATTCTACTTTGATAGTTGTTGTAAATTTCTTACGATTATCCTCTGTCATACCCTCAAGATCTGGGAATAGACGGCAGGATTTGTCCAAGCCTTCGGGTCGCCAACCTATGGATACCCAAGATGTGGAGGCAAAGTCGAGGATGATCTCCACGTCGTTCTGTAAAATACCCGTTTAAGATACAGTTTGTCCTAAGTTTGTTCTAGAATTCGCGACGCCACCGCAAGCGCTTTGCGTCACGTGCGCGGCTCGCCATGACATATCGGCAGGACCGCGTCACATTTCTAATTACTCTCGGATTAGAAGGCAAGATCGATAGGAATAGGGCTTCAAAGTTCCAAAATAGCCTACATGGATGATAAAGTTGTGTGACTGACTCTTTATCACCGTTAAATGACTGGAGTATTTTTTAGAAATCAAAGAAGTATTTGAATTATCTTTGTACAAACTTTATTTGGGGACGTGGCTGCCAAGATGCCCCTGAAAATAGGTGAAGAAATGTTTCGTTATAGGCCAACAAAAAAAAAGCATCCGGAGAATTTGTTCAGTGGCTGTAAAGCCATTCCCCTTCAGAAAAAATTTTTTTTTGCAAAAAAAAAGAAGGCCTTCTTTTGCTCGATTTTGAACTGTACTAATGGTGTGTTTGCGTTATCGACAGCAATTCCGCGTAATAAATGGTCATGGGGTTGAAAAGGCGAACGCAGAAGCCGTTCTTTACGAGCAAGTGTTGTCGCCACCGTAAGAACACTACGTCAGAAAATCGTATCTGCTACACTGCACAACTTTCTCCTACTCTGACTGGGAGCCAAACCTATAAAATAAATATGGGCCTGAAACCTTACCTTCACTTTTCTGTAGTAGATGACATCATTTTCATTGATTTTTTCCTTATTGTAACACGAAGAATCAAACATTCCATACATTTCATACTTTTTCTCTTGTATACTTGCATAGGAAAAGCAAGTATCTTCCACACGATCGTAGGCTGAAATGGATTTTTTCAATTTTTCCTTGATTCATATCAACTCTTTCCCACTTTGTTCGCAATTTTTGCCGAAGAATCCATAACTACAATAGCAACTGGCACTGGCAATTGAGTTCGGTTCAGCTAGACATTTACCACCGTTGAGGCAATCATCGTCATGGTGACAGTTAGCTGAAAAAAGGATAGTTTAATCTTCTCTGATTCAACTGAATTGGCGGCTGAAAGGCGGCTGTTAGTGACCTAATTAAGGCCGCTTGCACCCGCGACGGAGTCTGCGTCTCTATCACGCGCGTGCTCTCTGATTATTCTCTAGCCCTAACTAGGTCACGAAACCCCTCCTTCCAGCCGCCAATCCAGTTTTATCCATGGGTAAGCACTCGGTGAACTTTCATTGGAATAAATATCTGACTTACTTATATACTGACAAATATCGCCTTTGTATCCATGTTCGCATACACAACGATTTTCGGCCAGCGTGCCATGACCGCTGCATCTGTCAATTTCTGAAAATTTCAAATTGCAGTGGAGATGGAAGTACCAGATGGCCAAGTTGGAAGAGTAAAAAAAGGAGAGGGGTGGGGGTAGGAGAGCAAAATGTCTCGTTTTTCTTTGTTTCCTACTATCGTACCTAATCTAGTGGGACAAAACCTTACAGAAGAAAATCATTTTTTTTTTTTGAAATTCTGCTCAGAGGAAGACAGGGGTAAAGAAGATTAACATTTCTGAAAATGGAAATTTTTTGGGAAGTTCTTGAAATTGTTCTAAACTTATTTTGAAAGTTTGGCAAGAGGGGGCCGCCCGTTAGCTCAAAAATTCTTCTTTGCAAGGCTATTCACTTTTTCCGAAATTTTTAAGGCATTTCTTCTTTCTTTCTTTCAAAACAACTTGTTTATGCATTTCTATGATCTACACGGACCACTGCAGAAAATTTTGCAATCGTTTCCGAGGGGGAGAGAAAGGGGGAGGGAAGGTACCGAATTGGCTACATCTTCAATTTTTTTGCAGCTGAAAATGATGGTGCCGAAAATGTTCGTCTCCCAGTAACGAGTAAATCTGAGGAACTTGACATTGTATAGGCAATGTGGTAAAAATATAGGCGTGCCATCGCATACATAGACTACACGCAATTGCGTACGATTGAGAGAGTTTGTGTTTGGAAGAGACAGCAGACACTAAGAGTGACAAAAGCACGCTTGATCAGAGAGACGCGGACAGCGTCCGCAATGGCGTCCTGTCTCCGCGTGCAATCGACACCTATACCAACTTTCTTCAAGTATTCTCATCATGTTTATCCCTAAGATCCAACTGCAGTCAAATTCACTATGATTTTTACGAAAAATCAAGGCTCTCTTGCTTCTCTCCGGTCACAAAACTTCTAAAAAATTTATGGAATTCTTGCTTACCAGGCATAGTTTCCAAAACATTTACGTCGGCGCAGCTTCGAAACCGATAATTCTGTCCCCATTCCAATGCTTGTCGTTCAAAGATCACTGTACATTGTGAACATGGCCGAGTAAATTGGACATTCTGAGATTGAGTTCTGGAAAAATCTCAGAGTTAGAGTCTGATCAAAGCTAAGATCTTCGTTTCAACTAACATCGGTTCGTCGGTTCCGGCAAATTCCATTCCATTTAAAGGCGATAATTCTTCTACAATCTGGCCTTCTTTGTCTATGAGGGCTATTCGATAACCTCCCTATAAAATGGTTGGTTTCACTAGAGAAAATGTACAGTGAGAGGCAGGTACTCTTATTTTGGCTCCCCTTTCTTACCTGATGCGGATACTGCATTCTCCAAGTGATGTTATAAGTACTGCCGGCGATTAAGTTTGTATAGTGCGCTGTAAAAAAGAAGTTTTTTCCATTAGGTCAAAATCTGAGGTCGACGTTTTCTTAAGATCAAATGAGAGCGCATTTATCTGGTTCATCATAATGATGTGTTTTTTCGCAAGAAAAATTGACTACAGTGAAGTCACTCGCGATATAATTTGTGAGACTGCACCCCGCACGCTGCACCTGACGTCGTTACTGATAAATAGTAAGAAAAAAAGCATGGGAATATTGGTAATGATGTTACACCTATTTGTACTTAATTAGTTATACAGGGTGTCCCAAAAAAATGTGCACACTGTTTGATTGTTAATAACTCTCTTGCTTCCATGTCTTTTGCCGAGCTTGAGGTACCATTCTGTAGAGCGAGGATAAACTTAGATTTACAGTATAGAAGGACTTATCAGCCGCTTTTCATTACTGTAGGATTACGGTAGGAATTTCAAGGGGGATTTTCAGCAATGGAAAGCTGCATTTTGCCCCAGAAAAAAAGCCAAATAAGCCAGAAACTCTTGAACTGGGTTAATCATAGTAGCTGATTCCAAATATGAAAACTGTACGTCAGTACACTGTTTCTTTCATGAGTTATTTCAGATTTAGGGTAACAACTGATTTTCCAATGTTCAGCAGAAATGTGAATACGCCGTCAAGAAAGCTCAAAAAATTGATGAAAAGTCATGTAGTGAAATCAGCATGCCTGAAAACCTTGCTACAAAACTTTTTAGATTTTTTTGAAAATATTTCATTATAAGGCTTATTCCACGGTGATGCTGTATGTTGGAGGTTCATACCGTAATCCTACAGTAACAAAAAGAGATTGGAGTTTCGCTTAATACTGTAAATTTAAGTTCATCCTCGCTCTACAGAATAGTACCTCAAACTCGGCAAAAGACTTGAAAGCAAGGGAGTTATTAACGATCAAACAGTGTGCACATCTTTTTGGGACACCCTGTATAAGGGAAGGAAACTAGATGAAGTTTCTGAAAATCGGAGTTGTAAGCACATAAGTCGTGAACTAGCGCGCGTATGGTGCAGTACACAATGACGTCAAAGACTCGACGGTATACTTCCGCAAATTTCCGTACTGTGCAGATAAGTTGGCGATAAGCCTAGATAAGCCTAGCGTGATAAGATATTACGCTTTTGCCATGTAACTATCAACCTTGCAAAAGGTTTTTTTTACCAAAAATTTTTTTATTGCGGCCATCCTTTCGTTTTTTTTCATATGCTTCAATGATCTAGGTGTTTATACTTACGTCGTTGCGGAAGTGGCACTCCACAAGGTCCGTGGGTTCGTGATGTGTCAAGGAAATCCAATGGCGGATATCGTGCCTCAGGAAATGTGAGCGCCACATGCGCATCACTAACTGCCAAAAATGCCAGCGATAGGAATGGGACCAAGTCCCGCATCAGCAATCACTGAAATTCTAGGACTAGATTCAAATTTTTATTTTTACCGTGTAAGCGAGGGTAATAGTGCGAGAATGAGAAGGTGTCACGGCTCAAAAAACAGCCATTTTCAACAATGATTATGAAGTCAAGCAATAAGATCGAATCGGGGACGCCAGAGAAATATAATTTTACAGGAGAAGGAGGGAGGGGCTGGCATCAAAGATTTATTTTGAGGAAGGATTTAGAATTTGCCGAGTCCTTAACTAAGTTTTTTAGAAGCTTCTTATATTATTCCCAAACTTCAACCAAGAAATTTTGTGGGAGAAAAAAGAAAAAAAAGTGGGAGAGAAATTTTCTTGCGAAGCTTTTTATCATTACAAAATAAAATTTGATTCTAGCCATTCGTGAATAGAAATAAAGTGATAGCACAATTTCATATCCCATATAAAACACTTTGTAAATTTCCCGCCCATTTTCAGGGCGTCGGAAGAGGGAGGGGGGAGATGTGAGATGAACGGATATGAACTGAAAGTAGCGAGAGCATAAGGAAAAAAATCCAGAAGAGTCGTGCACTCATTCTGGGGCTTGCAATTTCTGCAAATATCTTACGATGGCAATAATGAAAGTTAAATCTGAATTTTGATTTTTGAAAAAAAAATCTTCCACTGCTTTTCGTAAGTTGTTCACTTCTGGGAGTTTAGCCAGACACCGGATAGTAAGAATAGTTAAAAAATGGCATCAAAACTTTCTTGTCTTGTTTAATATTTCATATGAAATACTCACATCTGTTTTTACATGCTTTTTCTTGTTTTTTTCTTTTTTCTTGCTTTTTCTCTAGGTGAAAAAATTGTGCTTCACGGAGACTTGAATAAACTTGGCAAAACTACAGGCTTTGAAAGCTTTTCACAATTTATATTGGACAAAAAATTTTGTAAGTACCTTCCGCGCGCAAAGCAAATCATAAAATTTGTATTCTATTGTATATGCTGAGCAAAAGACTACAAAACCGCAAATGAATGTCCGTAGTTTACGCTTGCGCTCTTTCTTTATCCAAAAAATCAAGATTGAAGCGATACCCGTTCATACCACCCTATTAACCCTAGGAAGCGTCTGAATATTTGCGCTGGCTGCTTTGTCACATTAGAGGAACTTTTTCTGAGGTCATTGCATTGTGTGAAATAGAGCGAAAGTCATCTACGGAAGCACTTTATTTGGACTGGATTAGAAAGAAATATTGTCGTAATGAAACTGGGGCGAAAGTGACGGCCAACATTTTTCGCATTCCAGTGTAGGGAATAAACTTTTGAGCGAATAAAAAAGAAAGTTTTGAGATGTGTTTGACCCTAGTAAATGCCATGTAAATCTTTTTGAGGAAGATGATAAAAACTCACAAAAGCTGGGTTTTTTGAGATATTTATTTCGATTGCTAAAATTGCAGAATGCCTATGAATTTAGTTCAAATTTTTTTTTGGTTTTTAACCTACCCTCTGCGCCAAAAAAGTGTTCTGATTTGATGCCTTCATAAGCATAATTTTTGATTGGGTAATATAAAAAATTACAAAACAATTTATCAATGTTTTAGAAGTCTAGAATCTTACCAGCATCACATTTTTTTAAATCTTTTCAGCTGAGCGAAAATTCTGTTCTTATAGTTGAAGCAAAGAAATTGGGCTGTTTGCGGAAGTGTTATTTCGTAAATATATGTAAACAATTTGTTCTCTAGTTTGATTCCAGTAATCGCAACATTAAACCTTGAAACTTAGTAATACAATATGTATAACATTGTATGACTCAATATTTTTGAGGTTGAAAATTGAGCCAAAACTTAGCTGGAAACTTCATTTTGAGAGGATTGTATAGCGAAAAGAAATGAACAATAAACTTCCAAACAAGGAAGAAACATGAAAATCAGAAAGATGGGCATTAGATTAACCGCTTTTTACCTACTACTTCTCAATACAAAATTAAAGGTGATTTTTTTCCAAAGTAAGCTATATTTACAGCTCTTAAAGAAAACGTGAAAGCAACGGTCAGAATCAGTCACCATCGCTAATTGAGAACAGCTTAAACACCTGAAAGTTGGTTAGTTACTTTTGAAATTTCGCAGATTCTTGCCTCTAGAAGGATTTGCTTCATTCAAATTTTATTGAGGAAAAAGTCTTTGGTTTCACAATGGCTCTTTAGCAAAAGTTGTATGAAAATTGCAGATATGAAAATGCAACGAGAGGACCACTCAATTTTTGTTGATTCTGAGTTAGCCTGCCAAATGTCTGAAAAGTAGTTGTAAGTAGTATACTGTCAGTACTCTGGTTCATGACCTGCACTTTTCAGCTGAAAGAAAAATGAGGCTGATAGGATGTCTCAGCAAAAAAAATCACGATTCTCAAGAAGTAATGAATTATGGTAGCGTTTTCAAGCGTTTTCCAAAACGAGGTTCAAGAAACTATCGTGCTAATTCACGTCAATAAAACATAAATGTTGGAGATCTCCAGGAGGTATTCGTGGAAAACGGATCATGAGATGGTGCTGGACCAACGGAAGTAGCAATGAATCGCGTGGAACCATTAGAAACGATGTCATAAATGCCCATTAACAGTGGCTTTGAAGCGGTCAGCGACTGGCCTTGCTGGTTAGCCAAAGCCATAGAAACCGTCCAGAGGACTTCTGTGTGGCTATCATTCTGTTACGCGGCCATTAATGTGAATTCTTTCAAATTCTTTTTGCGTAACGTATGCCACATCACGGTATTGTCACGACATTTATGGGTATAGGATGAGTACGGAAGCTATACCATTCCAAACGGGTGATTAGCGTAATTGTTGGGTGAAAAAAAGGCGCTTAGAATTGGTGCAAGTGCCTATGCAAACCAGATTCTCTTACTACACAAAAAGCATGTAAAAAGGCTATATTCAGAGTTGAAAGCGAACAATTGGCGCAAGATAGAGGCTGAGAACTGGTGGCTTAACAATATCGAGATGACAATCGTAACGCAACAACCATCGAGGCTTATTTTGTGCAGGAGAGAGCAAGGACGGAAAAATGAGAAGAACTTCAGTTATCTTTGAGCAGTAACAGACCTTCATTTTTCGCCAACATTTTACAAAATGGACACATACAATCTATTTGATAAAAAATGCTTTTTAGGCGATAGAAAAAGCCTTCAATGAACAGTGTTCTTCGTACTTTTGTTGAAAGTCGCTTTGAGACTTATTAGAATTAGCACAATAGAGATATGTATCAGTAACGGTCCGAAAAATTTCTTCGGGAGGCAAGGGGGGAGGGAATTGACAGAAATTTTTACGAATGAAGGGACATCCTCCTGAAATATGTAAGTGTTGTGAGTCCTATGTTCATCACAAAGCTTATTTGAACGAAGCTAAATTTTGAAAAGATTTCGAAAATTATTTTAATTTTTTACTAGCAAAAAAGTCGCTTGCGCATTTCTATGATAAAAATGGTTGGCAAGCAAACTTTATCGAACAGCATCCTATCCTTTCCTTGTTCAAATATGAAACTCTTCATCAATCTCATTCAAGTTTTTTGAATTTAGTGCATATTCTATAAACTTGAAATAGTAACTCATGCAGTTTAATTTGAGAATAAAATTTTTTGAAGTCTTGAAAAACCACTGTTTATACAACACCGCTGTCCTCCTGGAAGACAAAGATAGTTTATTGCAGATTACTTTATGGGGCTAGGCAGGAGGTGGCCTTCCGAAAGTGCAAAAAACGATGTCCCCTTGACTTTCGGAAGATTTTACGAAGTCCCCTTTGACCTTAAACCCCTAAACTAAACAAACCTCAATAAAACTAGGCATCGACAAAAAAAGTTACCTAAGTTGTGTCTTCCGGCCACAAAAACGATATCTCCTTTGCTTTTTGAGCCAAAAACGATATCCAATTCACCCATAAGCCGCCTGTGGCGAGCCCTGGTACTTTATGGAGGTCTTCCCTTTTTTCATATTGAAAACATTCAACCTGCTTTGATTTCCAATTCGTGTCAATGTGCCTAAAATTTCTGATAAAGGAGAAATGATCAGCAGTCCTTCGAGATGTGATGGAGCAGAAATAGCGACCACAAATCTGCCTTCCCTATCCTGCAGGATGTTTGTGGACGAGGAGTTATGGACTTTTGAATATCACTATTGAATATATATATATTTTTGAAACCGATTTTTGAATACACGTAAACTTCCATAGAATAGGGTGGTTCTATATTTTTCAACATTTTTTATATTTAGATTTTTGTGATTTAACTTAGTGAATTTTATCTCATCTATATATTTAATTACAATAAAATACTATTGAACTTCTTTAGCCAAGTTTGCTTGCCTAGTAATAAAGGATATATGAATTATAGGAACAGTTTTTCTCACCATGAGGGAAAAGAGAAAAAAGGGAGAGGTAGAGAAATGGCGAGGAAACGCTGATGAAAGTGAAAAGGATGACCAAAAAAGAGTAATCTTGGCAATATTGTTGGTCATCACTACGATTGAAAAAATTTTGCAAGGATTTAGGACTAGGTAATCAAAGAAAAAAGAAAGCATGAATCGCAATCCTTTGATCTAAATCCACAGTATTTGAAACAAAATCCTAAAATTGCGAATGTGGGAGTGTTGCGGGTACGATAGGACAATGCTCCGCGCGTTTGCCGCGATTAGATCCGAAACATGCGGTCAAACGGCGAAAAAAGCGTCACTAGGCATTTCGCGCGAATTGCGCTGGAAACGCCCAAGGCTTGCGGGCGATGGCTGAATTGGCCCGATTTCGTTAAGAATAGAAAGAGCCCGACAACACACTTTGTGCAAACTAGTTCTTGCCTCTAAGCTGACACCGATGCGGCCACTTTGAGAGGAGGGGGAAGTAGAGGGTGAGGAGACGGGGATGGGGTACGTGGTTAGGCCGAAGACGATACGACGTGCTAGCGAGTGATGACGACGATGACGATGAGAATGAAAAAGAGGGTCGGAGACCTGGCGGAGACGATGCGAAATCCCGTCGAAACGATGCTAAACACTA